TCATGTTGTTGATTAACTAGATGTTTCCATATAGGTCGACGTAACTCGGGATCACATGCTATAAAATGAGTGCTGATCTTCACCATGAGAGATTAACTAGGACTTTGGTACTCAAGCTTGTGGGTTTTGATCGGTATACTGCTTTCAAAATTATCATCATTTAAAAAAAAAATGAGTCTAACCTTTTTTCTTGTCCATGAATGATAAGCCCTGTAATTATATAAATTTATTAGTTTAATTTTCATAATAAATTCTCTAATAGTTTTTATATTTTCTAATAAAATTTATAATTTATAATACTTATTTATAAATTATAAAACAAAAATATTACTACAACAATATTAAATTTTTAAAGAATAAAATTACTATCTAATTTATTAACATAAATTTTCAATCAACTATACGTGAGTAAACTTTCTTATTAATTCATTTGATAATTTAAGATTAAAAAATTTATATAAATAAATCAATTGTTAAATAGTATTTTACTCAAATTTGACATAACCCAATTGACCCTTAATTTTAAAAGTTAGCAATTTTATGTGATCACCCAAAATTAAAAACCCTATTTCATCATGAATACTTCAAATTGTTTTGATTTTAACTACCGATCACTCAATCCATTAAGTAAAAAAAACTTTCACTTGTCCATCCAAATTTGTTTTTATTTGGTCAAAAATCAAATCCTCATTTAAAAAAAAAAAACTTAATATCAAATCATGTTGGTTGTTGCTTAACTTCTAGTTGTACTAAAACTTATTAAGTGATTGTAAAAAAAAATTAAAAACAAACTATCAACAAAATTGTTACACGCAAAGCACTAACAATGATTATTATTTTTAATGTAAAAACTAATTCTATAATTTACCAAGTAGAAAGAAGCATAGTAAAAAATAAAAAATAGATAAAAATTGATTTGAATTTAATATATAAAAAATATTTATTTTAGTATAAATTTCATAAAAGTAATAATTTTTTTACTGTGATACATCATGTATAATACATCTTTACATTTTGAATATCTATATTATAGTTTTTTATTTTATTCAATATTAATTTTAAATATAGTAACAAAATATTTAATAAAATTTTTATTTTCATTAGGTATAGTCAGAATATTAAAAATAAAATAAAATAATAAATTTTAATCAAATTAAAATATAATGATAAATTTCAATATCTCCTTTAATTTAAAAAATTAGTTTGTGGTTCCACGATATATGTATTTTTTTATATAATTATATACAAAAATAATATAAATGAATAACGTCAATTTAAATAATAAAAAATTTTACCAAAACGAAAAATTAAATGATCATTAATTTATATAAATTTTCAATCAAAAGGAAAAAACGATTTTAAAATAGAAAATGAAAGGTTGACTAACAATAAAAATTAGAGTGATTAATGGAAGACAATTATATGGAGATATTCTTTCCTTTTTTTTTCTTTTTGAAATGAGATATTTTTTTATTGCATTAACCAAAAAGTTAAAATTTTGAATTAATGGGCATTACATTTTAAGAAAATTTTGACATTTTGGAAATTAAAGTGGAAATAATTTAAGGAAATATCAATGACATTTAATTTATTTGTGAAATGGAAAGAAGCTTTTAAAATTAATGTAATAATGATAATAAATTATTAATAATTAATTTGGTATCCCGATACAAAATTAAATTTTTTTAGATATATGACATCAATTTAAATATTCCAAGCGTTTCATGTAAGAATATTATTTTTTGTCAAAAACTTTTATTTTATACATTTATATAAAATGTCAATATAATATATATATATGTATATTTTTGAAGTTCGACTTGATTCAAGAAAATAATTTGATAATTTAACAATGCTGGCACAAGTTAATAAAAATTATTTTTTTTTATATTCTTAAACAAAATTGGAGTTAACATAATGCAAAATTAAATTAAAGAAAAAGAAATGGCACCAAAAGAAAGCCATGAGAAATACATATAAATGAGAATTTACTACTCAAATCTTTTTGAATATTTTGATATAGACAGAGTTAGAACTAGAGTTGGCGGTCGGGTTTTGCTCGCCCTGAATCTGACTCAACTTTATGTGTTATCAAACCCAAACTTGACTTTATCTAAATTTTTTTTGTTTTTTCATATTTGAACCCGATCCCGACCCGATATTATATAAATCGTACCCGATCCGAAACTCAAATTTCAAAAAAAAAAAATCAACTCTGTAAGGTCGGGTCGGATCGAAATCCGTTGATGATGGATTAAATTATCAACTCTAGTTAGAACTAAGGAGTGAAAAAAAGTTATAAAGGGAGAAAGGTAGCATCAAGAACAAGCCAATGGCATATGTGTATGGAAGTTTACATGAAATTTATATAAATAAAGTTTGAATATATTGTTATTATAGTCTTTAATCTTATATAATACTTGGTATATTAAAGTTTCCTAGTAGAGTAATTTAGCTGAGACAAGGTTTGTACAATGTCTACGAGAAGTAGTGATGATTTAGATTTGATTAGATTTTAATTTGATTTTTTGGATAATGTATAAAATTATGAATATCTAAAATTCAATCTAAATCTGAACTTAACTTACATATAATTCGATCCAAACGATATCTATCGGTTTGATTCGGTTTATTAGTTTTTAAATTTTAAATTTTTTATATATTATTTTAATATAATTTTTAATATATTTTAAATAGATTTGGTATAAAATAATTATTCTTATTTTATAAAAATTTAAAATATATATAAATAAAAGTTAATAAAAATATATAATTTAATTCAATTTGATTTTTTTGATTTTTGATTTTTTGATTCGCAATTCATTCCAAATCTAATATATATGTATACACGTATATATATATATATTATATACACATTTAATATTCAAACTTAGACTGAACCAAATAAAACAACCAATCCAAATCTTTGATTTGGAAGCAATTTTTAGTTTTTTCATTTTTTTTCTCATCCTAATGTCCATTTTGCCCCATTTAGTCCACGACATATGTACTACATGAATTAATCAATATTGGGACACCATAAATTACTCGTTTGAAAAATGTAAAAAGTTATATCATAATTAGCAATATAATAGAAGACAAATATATCCAATTTTCCATAAAAGCATATTTATTAAAATATAAATAAGTACATTTCAAGATCAAATAAATAATTTAAATTATATTAAACTTGATTATATGGTCTGATCCTCTTTTGAATCTTCATTTACAAGATTATTATTGTTGATTTTTATTGGATTCATAAAAAAATTTTCACGTATTTTTTAAAATCTCTTTAAGCAAAATTTTGGAAGCTTTTTTTTTTTTTCAAAAAAGATTGAAATACCCAACAATATTATATTTTCTCTTTCAAAACAATGATTTGAGATTTTTTTTTCAATTTTCTTAAACATATTGGATATATTATTGTTGGAGATCTTCTTGATCATCATCTTTCTTAATTTAATTTTTCATTTTTACTCTTGTAGACAATATCATATATTTCAATGGACAAACCCTATAATAAGAAAAAATCAATTAAAAATATAAAAGAAATGAAAATCTAAATAAAAATAAATATATATGCACACATATATAAATGGCTACGATTATAATATGCATGTAAATACATCTTATATAAATATACAGAATCCACTGTTATTTCAATTGATACAAATGAAGAAAAAAATATACATACATACATACATACATACATACTATACATATATATATGTATATGTATATATATTATATATGAATATATAAAATCTAGTGCTATTTCAATTAATAAATATGAAGAAAAAAAAAGAATTGTATGTGGTCATAAAAAAGAGGGTCTTATACGTATATACCCCTATCTATGTACATAGGAAATATTTCAGTAGTAGAAGCATTATCTAATGGATGGATAGATGTCAATAGAAAAAATTTAGAAAGAATGAAAATAAAAAATTACATAGATAGTGATGATTTACAAATGACAAATAAACCAATGTATTTGGAGGTATTTGGAGAGTTGCTTTTGACTAACAAAAAATAATCTAGAACCCAAAGTATCTTTACCAAAAATTAACACTCTTAATCAATTACCAACACATCTCGATGCCTATAACACTTCTATTCATATTAGTAAAGTGTTCAAAGTATTTAATATTTATTATAATAAATTAAATAAAAAGTAAAAATAAAAGTAATAGAAATAATTTATGAGATATAATAAAAAAAATATCATTTAATAATTTGATAAAATTCTTTAACAATGTATATTAAGTAAGAATATTAGAATGTACTAATTAAAATATAAAAATATATAATTAATTAATTTATTATATTATTGATCAATTTAATTATAACTTATTCATATAAGGTAAGAATATTATATATTTAAAAAGGATATAAATATAATTAATTTAGTTTAATTAATTATTTTAAAATAATAAAATGATTTTAAATAAATAAAATACATTTATTAAAATAAATCAACTTTTTAAATTTATTCATATATAAAAAAATATAAACTATCTACGTAAAGTTATTTTTTTTAAAAGATTTTGACTTTTATATTTATAAACAAAATACCACATAAAACGTTGAAATATTTAAAAACACTAGAGGCAAAATTCAAACCCAAGCCAACATCTATGGCAAATATCAAGCCAGGAGCAGCAAGAAGTGATTGCCGGGGCCTCCCAACTCCCGTTGGGACCACCTGGCATCCACTGTCAAGTTGTCCGTACAAATGTGAACGGACATGACCAATCCCTAAGGGCCGAAGGCCAATGCTTCAACTTCAACATCTTCAGTCTTTACAGAACCCAACCCACTTCACGAGTTTACTCTTGTTCTTGCCCAGCAGGAAAGTGACTTGTTCCCTTTAAAAGGGTATTTGACCGTTGAGGTTTTGGACACCTGTTAAACGCTGGAAGCCCATTTTTCCTTTCTCGTCGTTTTTCAAAATAAATAATTGCATTACTCGCTTCCTAGTCCCCACGCCAACAGGCAACAATGAAGCCGTCGAAGTTCACTGTTTTTTCTTTTGTCCGTATCTTATACTTTCATTAAATATTCCCTTTAACGTTTTATTTTTTTGGTGAAAAGGGTATTCATTACTGTTTTATACTTTCGCCTTTGGAAACTCCGTTCATTTGTCACAATAAAGAAACAAATTTCGTCTGTGATTTCAATGAAAAAACCCAACAACCCATCGATGATTTCCACGTCTTTGTTACTCGGAATCCAATTAACCACTTTTTGATGCTACATTGATCCAGCTTCAGTTTGCAGATCCCTCTAGTATGGTTTAAAGTGACTGTGATCTTGATCTTGGTTTTGGTTATTTCCAGCCATGGCGGTTGCCAGCGATTCAATACTTGCTCGTAGTCTTATAACTGAAAGAGCCACAAAATTTGGTTATAAAAATGAAGCTTTTGGAGCCAAGGTTGTACCTTGCGGGGCTATTGGCAATGGAGGTAAAGTGAAGGGCATGGTCAGGGTTGAAGTCAAAGCATCAGTGCAAATTGGTGGTTTAGAGGAAGTAAAGAAAGCAAAAGGAGAATTGATTTTTGATGTAGTGTCCGAGGGGGAGTTGAGAGAAAAGGGTTTCTTGGGGATGAGGAAAACAAAGCTTGTTTGCACCATAGGGCCGGCTTGTTGTTCGCTGGAGGATTTAGAGAAGTTGGCATTGGGAGGAATGAATGTGGCTAGGCTTAATATGTGTCATAACACACGGGATTGGCACCGTGATGTGATTAAGAAGATCAAGAGGTTGAATGAGGAAAAGGGTTTCTGTGTTTCAGTTATGATTGATACTGAAGGTAGCCAGATTCATGTGCTTGATCATGGTGCTCCCTCTACTGTCAAAGTAGAGGTATTCCTTTTTCCCCTTCTTTTATTTTCTAGAACTTTATGAATATATTGTAATTTACATTAATAGAGTTGTTCTAAAAGTGGAAAACATGAATATTTAGTGTCATTTTCTAGTACAAATGCCCATTTGTGAGAAGAGAGAAACAATTTTGATGGGTTGTATTTTTTGCTTCCTTGTTGGGATACCAGGAAGGTTCCATCTGGTTATTTACAGCTCAAAAGTTTGAGGGTTCCCGTCCATTCACAGTTCAAGCGAGCTATGAAGGTTTTTCTGAAGGTAGTAAAGCTATATCTATTATCTATTTGTGCCAAGAATCAATTCAACCAAATACTAATGGTGAAATTTTTATTTAAGGTTAATTGTATCTCAATATGTTGTATGGACTATGGATGACAGGTATTGAAGTAGGTGATGTACTTGTCATTGATGGTGGAATGGCTAGCTTTGAAGTAATTGAGAAAGTTGGGAATGATTTGCATTGTCAGTGTATAGACTCTGGTCTATTTCTGCCTCGTGCCAAATTTAGCTTCTGGAGAGATGGAAAGCTTGTAGCAAGGAATTCCGAGCTTCCCACGCTCTCAAAAAAGGTTCAATTCATTATGATTGTGGGTTTGAGTTGGAATTATTCTTAGATGCCATAGCAGATAGTCATCACTTTTGACTCATTGAATTAGTTTAGACATAATCCTTGATTTTAATTTAGCCAATCTGAGTTCATGGATATCAAATCAGCATTTTCAAATATTGGACTTTACCAGCTAATGCTATATTAGAGGATAATTTTAGTCCTGCTTCCTTCTAATGCTCATAAACATTTATCATCAAATCTACAGGATTGGGCCGACATTGAGTTTGGAGTTACTGAAGGTGTTGACTTCATAGCGCTCTCTTTTGTCAATGATGCTGATTCTGTTGGGCAATTAAAGAACTATCTCTACATGAGGTCATCCAGGTAAATATCATCACCAAGCTAAACATTTATCAATTATACTAGCTTACCAAACACAACAGAAGTGTTATACTGGCTCAACAATCTCACTTATTCACAACTTTTGATTTCTTTCTGTATAATTTCTATTCATTTGGGGCCAGATTCTATTTATTATTCCTTAGTGTCATCCCGAAAAACAGATTATTTGTGGTATCTCTGAAAGAGTATTGAACTGTTAAGCCCTACATGTGCAAGATTGTCAGGATAGGATGCCGTTTTACTATTAGAGAGTTCCTACCAAGAACTCTTCTGGTTTTTGAGTCACTCTTAAATTAAATATAAATATAAGCCTTCTCTAATCTGCAATTCAATCAATAAGTAAAACTTGAATGATGTATGAAACATAATTGAAAAAGAAGCTTTATTCTTTTGGGGTGGAATTTGATTAAATCACCCTGAACAAATATCTGGCCTAGCTATGGAGAACAAATAGACTGTCATATATGCTACAACCTTTAAAAAAAAAAAAAAAAAAATTCAAGCTTTCCCATGTGAGTAAAAGCTTGAATTTCAATGGTCATATGGTGGTCTAAATATTTACTGTCTCTGCCCTTTTTTTTCTTGTGTGTTTGCGCATGTGTGTTTGTATGTAATAATGTGTACAATTTTTCCTCTCATTTTTCTCATAAGAACCCTGTGACTATAATGTTCTTCATCTTTCTGCAGTTAAACACCAACATTTAATATTCTGTTTTTTATTTGAAATTTTCCCAGAAAGAAAAGCTATAAATTTATCTTTCATACTAAAGTAAAAAGGCTTTTCTTCTATATGTTCTCAAAGTTTATGAAAATCACGAATTTTTGGCATGTGCAGATCCACTAGGGTGTTGGCAAAGGTTGAGAGCTTGGAATCACTCCAGAAATTGGAAGAGATTGTAAAGGCTTCTGATGGAATCATGGTGGCTCGAGGTGACCTTGGAGTTGAAATCCCTTACGAACAGATTCCGACAGTCCAAGAGGAAATAACTCATATTTGCAGAGAATTGAACAAGCCAGTTATTGTAGCTTCTCAACTTCTTGAGTCAATGGTTGAATATCCAACCCCAACACGAGCTGAGGTAGTATCATAGTCTTAACTGATTTTATTGTTGATATTTGGTTATGAGAAAAACATCTAGAAAACTGACATTTACGTAATTACATATATAGGGAACATTTGTAGAATTTCTTTTTAATATATTCTTCTGTGGTGCAACCAGGTAGCAGATGTTTCTGAAGTAGTTCGGCAGTATGCGGATGCCTTAATGTTATCAGGTGAGTCAGCTATTGGACCATATGGGCAGAAGGCTCTTTCTGTCTTGCAGATGGCTAGTAGTCGGATGGAACTATGGAGTCAGGAGGAAAATCGACGAAGTATTCTCCACCAGCGCCAACTTGGAGTGTCATTGCCTGATCGCATTGCTGAGCAGATCTGCAATTGTGCTGTTGAAATAGGTATTTATCCTCAGTAGCCTTCCTGTACAATTAAAATTTAGTCTTGTTAGTATCACATGACATCAAGGCTACCAACCCTGACTTGAACCATTTTATGCTCTCATAAAATAGGTTTTGTTTGTATATATGATTCTTCATTCTAAGGGACTTGGTTTGATTGGAGCAGGGTTCGTACCCTGAAAAACTCAAATTGAAGAAAGACTCAAGCCACTAGTTACTGCAATTGCCTTAAGCAATTTATATCAACTGTAGTGAAAAATATGTTTTAATCTAGGTTATTCCCTATCACCCCCCCCCCCCCCCCAAAAAAAAAAAAAAGGGAAAAGTATTGATAATTGAGTTACTCTATTGTTAGTACGATAGCAGTTGAGGCACTTATTCACACGGATGATTTGGCTTATTAGAATCTAAGACAGCTCTTTCATGTTATGTCTGATTTTAGTCGTGCACTTTCTATGCAGCTAATAATCTTGGCGTTGATGCCATCTTTGTGTACACAAAGCATGGACAAATGGCATCACTCCTGTCTCGCAACCGTCCATACCCGCCCATATTTGCGTTCACAACTGACAATGGCACCCGTATGGCTCTGAATCTTCAATGGGGAGTTATTCCCCTCCTTGTTGACCTGTCAGATGATATGGAGGCTAACATCTCAAGAACCATTGACCTTATAAGAACAAAGGGGATGTTGAAAACTGGAGATACAGTTTTGGTGGTCTCAGATTTAGCTCCAACTCATATAAATTCCACTGCATACCAATCGGTCCAAGTGAAGACAGTTGTTTAGGAAGTCATTTGCCTTGGACATGCTGCTCAACTATTGTCCATTAGGAAGTACCAAGTCACACATGTTAAATCATTTTCCTATGATCATAAGCTTGTTGCATGACAATAATTCACCATTAATACTTGTGAAAATGCGTGACAGATCATTTTCAGCTGCTATTCTATTGTGTAATCACATTTAGATTCAATTTAAAATGCTTCTGACTTGAGGGATGGATAGTTGATCGAGACTAAAATACTTATATCTCAAAATCAATTCTAATATACAGTCAAAAACCAATTCTCATTCTATAACTCACCTATGAAATCATGACACGCAAGACTGAGTCTTGAAACACCCGAACAATTTTCTAGCATGCACGACACAAGCTGCTGAGGAGGATGATCTAAATAGGTGAGGCCACAACTGCTTCGCTTAGACGAAGAAGCAAGTAGATCTGATCCAATGCGTTTGATTGATGCAAGTAGGATTCTTGTAACGGCTACAGCAGTACTAGCGTGCACGGAAAAGTCCAACCAAATTTGCCCCATCTTGCGTAAGACATTTTGTTCCTGTCCAACGTTGGAATCTTCGACGTCGTCAAACCAAGAGAATATAAAATGCACAATTCGATACGTTTGCATGAACCACATGAAAGGGAAAATTATTTTAAACAAAGCCGTCATAGCCATCAAATCACATGTAAAACGATTTTTTATTTTTAACAAAATGTAAAATAAGTGATATATTTGCATCTATTTGCCTGTAGATTAAATAAATAATTAATACATTTCAAATGTTGAGTATGTATAAAGATTATTGTTTGTAACATTGACGAATTCATGCAATCAGAATAAAATATAACAAAATTTATCTAAATGAATTTCATATTTGAAATTAGAGATTGCAACATATTATTTTAAAATATATTTAAAATTAATAAATAATATATGATAATATTTTAATTACATTGAGTTTAAATGTCTAAGATAAATTTTTAAGAATTATTACAATAATCAATATTTTTATATAAAAATCAAAATCAAATGCATATAAAATATTATAAATGTTAAATTTTAAAATTTAAATTATTTTAAATATTTTTCTTAAAATAATTATAAAACGTAAGAGGCTTGTATAGATTGTCAAAAAAGTGTGGGTCATACATGAGAGCTCTCTACAATCATTTGGGAACCACAATCGATACCAACAAAACACAACCGCACACCTCTCTCTTCCGCGCACATTAGTTGATGAAAGTTCTCCCGCGCTAATTTACGCCCCCTCGGTTACGCTACCAAACAAAAACAACCACCCCACAGCCTCCCTTGCTCACGTTACGTGCATCTACTTTCTTCTCTCCACAGCATAATTTACAAAAACCAAAAAAAAAAAGAAAAAAAAAATCCTTTCCCGTTCTTTTACTCAACTCAGAAAGGCTGTTAAAACTCATTTAAATTCTGATTTCTTGGAAAATTTGAAAATTTTCTTTCTCTTTAATTATTTCAAATTTTGATGCAGAGCAATAAATGCAAAATAAAATGACTTCTCTACAGATTCTGAACCCTGTTTTCTCTTCCATTTCCATTTCCCAGTCAAATTTTCCTGGAAAATCTGATTTCAGGAAGAAAATTTTCAACTTTAATAAATTTAGAAGCTTCAAGTCTTTGCACAGCCAAAGATCTAGAATTTATTGTTCTACTCAAGAAGGTGACAACAAAAGCAATGGTATGTTCTTCAATTTCTAAAGCTTTCACTCATTTTAATTGTATCTTTTTTCCTACTTTCATTTCAAAAAATTTGAAACAAACTCGTGTTAAGTCCTTCAAAAAGAAATTGAAAAGCTTTCAGAAATTAATGAAGAATACATTGAAAAGATGAAACATTTATAGTTTCAAATTTGCTAATTTTTTGGATCAGAAAATGGGCTAAGAAATTATGTTATTCATCCGGCTTGTTAGTTTTTGCTTGAAAATTTAGTTAAGTGGGTGCTTTAATTTCTTTGGGGCTTATAAATTGGGTGTCTTATCTCCTTTTTTGAGTAGGTAAAGAGCCTCCTGAGTCACTGTTTATGAAGGAATTGAAAAGGAGGGGGATGACACCCACTTCATTGCTTGAGGATGCCAAACAAACCAATTTTGGACTGGATGAGGAGATGAAAGTGGGGGAGGAAGCAGGAAGTTTCTCCAAAAGGAATGCTGTCTCAACTGAATATGAGAAAAGCTTATCTAATCAAAGGGAGCGCTCCATGGAGTTGAATAGTGAAGGCCTTGAGGTTGATAGATTTTAGATAATGATTTTGCATGCTGTGCCTTGTGTTAATTGATAACAGTCTTGCTTTTTGTTGCTTTCAGACCTTATGAACAAGCTTCCTTAAAAGATTTTGTTACATATGCTTCATCTTGCTAATGAAACTTGAGTGCTTCAGCTAGTTATTGATAATTGTACTTTAGCACAATTATGAACATTCTGACTTGTAATGGTAGCTTCATAATCTTAACACACTAGATTTGGATAGTGATCTACACTTGTTTCCTTGATTGGATTTTAAAGGAAAATGAGAAACAACTTTATCTCCGGGGTTCATTTACATTTTTGGTGTTGTTATTACTTTAACATTTTAGAAAAAGATACAAAATTTCTCTATCTTCTTTGGAGATTGTTGTAGAATCAACAACAACGTCCTCCTTTGTTTTTACTTTCCGCTGCACTGAACTTGATTTATTTGTCTTCTGTTTCGTTGAGCAATTTTGTTATTGACCCAATGTTTCTCATTTTATTTTAATTTCTTCATATATAACTAACTGTTCCGGGATCAAGAGCATTTTTATATTTATTTTTGTTCCTGTTTCTAACCTTAAACCTGTTATGTGTTTATTTATTTATTTCAGTATGGTTGAGCTAATCTCTCATTATTTCAAGCAATGTCATGTTTTTGTGCATTTAATTTCTGTATTTGCGAACACGAGACAAGAACTGAACTTATATTTTCATTGTTCAGGGGCTAGTACCGCGGGCTAAACTGTTGCTAAAACTTGGAGGAACTTTCTTCCTCAGCTTTTGGCCTTTGATCCTTTCAACTATAGCATTCTTTTCTGCTCTCTACCTCGTTAGTTCCCTTTCTCTCACTCTTGGATTTTGACTTTAGGAAATTGAAACACAAAAAACTCCCTGTTATCACGGGCTGTGCTGTTATTAGAACTATTGCAGTGGCTGCAGTGAGCTTAAAGGAAAATTCCCTTCTTAAAAAGGGAAAAAAATGACATTTATTCTCTTTTAGTCCTTTTCATTTTGTACCTATCGTTACTTTTGATGTTTGTTTGACCTACATGTACTATTGCATTGAGAAGTTACTGGGATGAGATTTCATCCGTGTGTTTGTACTGTTTTTATTACCTTGAACCATCACCTAGTTCTTCATTTTCTGTCTGCCATTAAGAGTTTGGCTATAGTTCTGTTTTATCCAATATCCTCTTTGCTAAATCCTTGCTGCTTTTTTGTTGATTTGCATTTGAAGGGTTGCAGATGCTCTTTGTTTGGCTTTGTTTGTTATAAAGGCTACATACTGATAATTTTTCCTTGGGCAGTATTTTGGACCATCTTTCATTCATGATGGAAGTGAGACTCCCGTTTCATCACCGCAATTCATCGATCCTTATGCACTTCTGGAAGATGAAAGGATTTCTCAAACAGCCCCTGGTGTAAATTGAAGGACATACCAGAAAATTTCTTAGACTTAAATTACAGGTTTCTGTAGCATATTTCCTTCACCTACTGTAATTCTTTCTTTCTAAATCTTTTATCAGCAGGAACTTCTCGCTCCAATTGAAGGTTCGGTGTCTTTCATACTGTTTTATAGATCCAATTCCTTGCGAAATTGGCTTTAAAATATAGATGGTTATAGACTTTTTATTTGTTAGGAAATTGAATTGGTAGAAAAGGGCGGGGAGGGGTGGGGAGCGGCTCAACCGGAGCCAGGAACCAGATTTTCAAATCTAGTGTCTCAAACACATGCATCATTGCATTGGGTAAACAATCAAGGGGCGTTACTCGTGATCAAAACATATACCAAGTTAACTATTGATTTGAAAGTTTAATTTCTTATTATGCTGTCTTGATAATAACCCTATTTTATGGCAAATAGTAGATTTAATTTCTTATTATGGCAAGATAGCAACCTCTCTCAAAACTAACATGAATCAATAGCAACAATGAAAAAAAAGGAACCACATCACGTTTCAACACAAACACAACAGTCAACAGACTAATTAATGTGCATAGAATACCACATCAAGTCTTTTAACAAATTTCGAAGAGAAGCTCACACAATACAGAAGCAACACGTGATAAAAGACAACAAATCACTGGGTCACAAAACGCAAGCCCTCACTCAGATATACTTAGTACTCATCATCACCTTCCTCTTCACCCTCACCTGACTCAGCACCAACCTCTTCATAATCCTTCTCCAGTGCAGCAAGATCCTCACGAGCCTCAGAGAATTCTCCTTCTTCCATACCCTCACCCACATACCAGTGAACAAAGGCACGCTTGGCGTACATAAGATCAAATTTGTGGTCAATGCGAGAGAACACCTCAGCCACACTGGTGGAGTTGGAAATCATGCAAACAGCCCTCTGGACCTTGGCAAGGTCACCTCCAGGAACAACAGTGGGTGGCTGATAGTTAATTCCACACTTGAATCCAGTTGGGCACCAGTCAACAAACTGAATGGTGCGCTTGGTCTTGATGGTAGCAACGGCAGCATTGACATCCTTTGGCACAACATCACCACGGTACATCAAACAGCAAGCCATGTACTTGCCATGCCGAGGATCACACTTGGCCATCATAGATGATGGCTCAAAGGCACTATTGGTGATTTCAGCAACGGAGAGCTGCTCATGGTAAGCCTTCTCAGCAGAGATTACTGGAGCATATGAGGAAAGCATAAAGTGGATCCTTGGATAGGGGACCAAGTTGGTCTGGAATTCAGTCACATCCACATTCAAGGCACCATCAAACCTAAGTGAGGCAGTCAAGGAGGAAATCACCTAAATCACAAGAGAAAAATATTAGGACAAACCATTAACAAAAAGACCACACAAACACGGAACGTGGCTAGAACTTTATGATACCTGAGAGACAAGGCGGTTGAGATTGGTGTAGGTGGGTCGCTCAATGTCAAGAGAGCGCCTGCAAATGTCATAGATAGCCTCATTGTCAAGAAGAACAGCCACATCAGTGTGCTCCAAAAGGGAGTGAGTTGAGAGAACACTGTTGTAGGGCTCAACTACAGAGGTGGAGACCTGGGGAGATGGGTAGACGGTGAAGCCCAACTTGGACTTCTTGCCATAATCAACAGACAAACGCTCCAAAAGAAGAGAACCAAGACCAGATCCAGTGCCTCCACCAACAGCGTTGAAAACAAGGAACCCTTGGAGACCAGTGCAGTTATCAGCAAGCTTCCTGATGCGGTCCAAGCACAGGTCAACAATTTCCTTTCCAACTGAAACAAGTAAATAGCTAATTATTAGTTCCAGTGAAACAAATAAACAAATCATATGCAAGCAAGGCAATGAAATAAGGTTCAAAAGAATTTACTGGTGTAGTGGCCACGGGCAAAGTTGTTGGCAGCATCTTCCTTGCCACTGATGAGTTGCTCTGGGTGGAAAAGCTGGCGGTAAGTACCGGTCCTCACTTCATCAATAACAGTGGGCTCGAGATCCACGAAGACAGCACGAGGAACGTGCTTCCCAGCACCAGTTTCACTGAAAAAGGTGTTAAAAGCATCATCACCTCCTCCAACGGTCTTGTCACTTGGCATCTGCCCATCAGGCTGTTAACAGAAACACAAGTGTTCGTTATTCATACGCCAGATCATAAATTTCAAAGCTAAATAGCTACAGACTAATAAAGAATAGCATGAATCTAGAAAAGAAATATCGCTCAAAACGCCTTACATTTTCAAAACAAAGATTTAAAGATCCAACAACATTTTAAAGATATAAACAAAGATTAACCAGATCTGGTGGAATAAAAAGCCTAACAGAAGAGAAAAACCAAACAAGAAAAATGTAGACATAAAAATCTCAAATCTAAGGTAAAATCAAACCAACACCTATAAATGCAATGAATCTAAGCAGATCATACACTCATAGATAAAAAAAGACAGTTAATGATAAGATTAAGAGGTAAAACGCAGATCTGAACGAAATGCGGAAATGCACATTTGCATGAAGAAGCGTGAAATGCAGATCTGAATCAAAATGAAAACTTGAGCAGATACAAAATTTGAAAGGAAGAGAGATGGCTACCTGGATTCCGTGTTCAAGGCAGTACAGCTCCCAGCAGGCATTTCCGACCTGGATACCGGCCTGACCAATGTGGATTGAAATGCACTCTCTCATTTTCGCTTATGGAATTTTCAAAATCAGAGCACAGAAAAAGATTGGGAAAACTAAACAGAAGGCGTTTATCAAGACACCTTCTGAGACAACAATTGAGATCTGATGGATTTGATGGTAGGGCTGGATAGGTATATTTATAGTTGGAGAGTGGGAAACAATTACAGATATTTAGGGTGGGCCTGTGGTTAAGATTAGGGCAGGAAGGCCCGAAATGTTATGTGGCGGAATCTGATTGGACCTTTACGAACTACCGTTTTAACCACGGTTAGTTGGCTTTTTCAATTTTTCAAGTTTTAAAATTTTGCCGCCCGGAGTACTGGCTGGACAATCGGGTTGTTGCAACGTGCTCCTAATTGGGCCGATTAAAGGCCTTGTTTGCGTAACGTTGTTTGAACTTCCGAACCTGTAATTTTTTTCAGCTAAAACAACGCAAATCTGGTCGGCAGGGTGAGATTTGGTGATTTTAAACGCAGATAATATTATGATGTAAAAGTAAAAAAAAAAATTGATATAGTTTAAAATTTAAAATTTCTTTTATAAATTTTATAAAAACAAAAAATATGTTTAAAAAAACAGGAAAATGAACTGTTTAAAATTTAACTAATAATTTTTATATTTTAAACATGAAATAAAAATATACAGATATACAAATTATCAGAGCTAATAAGAATCAATGCTCTCATTAGCTGCTGAACAATTGCAGATATGTTAGATAGTATATGTTTTTGAAAAATAAAGGCTCTTAAGAAATTCAATTAAAAATTTTTGCAAAAGGAAGAAAAATCATCATATCACCATTTTCTCCATTACAAATTTTCTCAAAACATGTGGAGAACACTGCATACATCCTCATACTGACCTAAGGATCATATACATGGCTAAGGGATCATTAGTATTAGCAAAAAAAAGGGAAAATTCACACCTTATTGCTTGTATACCATATGAATCAAGAAATAAGGAGTTTCATTCATCCACACGAATAAAGCTTTTCTCTTTTGCTTCTTATTTTTGGTGATTTTAACATAACAATCTATCAAATTTGCAGCTTGCATCACAACTAACTACTCCTTGACATCTTAGCAATACTTGTGTTCATAAATTACTCTGAAATCAAATAAAATGGTTGGCTGAAAGACAACAATCAGCAGCCATCTTCTCAGCTTCTCTGGCTGCAGGAGGCATTTCTTTAAGAATGCAGTTGTGTGTAAATTTTATTGAGACTTTTTCTCCAGTCTCCTTACTTTAAGGTTGCAAATCAAGTGGCAGGCTGTGCACCAGTCCACGCACGCTGGTCATCAACAGGTTCATTGATCCTTTGTTCACGGCTTTCTTGCATGTAAGTTACCCCAGTCCAAATCCCACGTATGAGTAAGATGCTTACAAACACAACACTTCCAAGAGTGCAAACCACCTATTTTCAATCAAAACATGTTAAAAGAAAATGAGTGGCAGAATCATGAAACAATCAGTTTGTAAAACTCTCAAGTTAAAAAAAAAAAAATTTACAGTGAACAAGAGAATATGCTCTCAAATCTCAAGCTCTATATGCACTACTTTAAAAACGTTAACAAAGACATGCCAATAATTGTATATTTTAAATAGTTAACGAAGCATATGCACATTTACTTAGTTTATTTATTAAATAATTCATGCACACACAAGACCTAAAAGCATGGCTTGATAAGTTTTCAAAACCATATCCCCAGGAAACTTCTATCAATTCTCAATGAATTCAACTTAAGGTAAATAACCACAATTGATAAGGAGTTGACTTCCCCTCCAAGACAGAGTGCCCTGCTCAAGGATATTAACCAGCATTGGTCCTACAGAAATATGCAGTACAACACTTGGTCTTCTAACTAGCTTTACTTTATCAATTGAAAAGAAAAGCAGAATCCTACCTTGAAGATTTCTAAAAAAATTAAACCATAGGCATTTGCTTCTCAGTTTCTGGCCAAGATCACAGTTCCATGCATAAAGGTCCTTTCTTAGTCTTGATTACTAAAATTACCTAAAAGCTGTCAGAGAGCCATATCTGCCCACCCACCATCCCCAATCAATATTTAGGTTCCCACATTGAAAATTGCTTATTGGTTAACAATACATCCTTCTATACACAAGCAAGAAAGCCAAACCATGACCAAGTTGATGTCAAAAGTACCAACAACCAGACCAACCCAGAACAAAAGGGAGACAACAGAAGAAAAAATTCGCTACAAAAGTTTGGACACCAAACCTTGAGCAAGCATATTGAATTCCCTGCTCGAAGAGCCAAATATTTCCACCAACCAATGTCAATTCCGAACAATCAGTTGAACAATATTTCATTCCAGTCCATTGAACCATTCAGCCCCTTCAAGTAATAATTAGCTTTCTCTAACATTGGCAAACTCAGACTTATTATAGATTTACTTTTTAAACCGCTTTAATCTTGTTAGATATACAGTGTTACAGATAGTTAATATACTATTGAACTGAAGATCAACTTAGCTATGAACTGAAGTTGAATGTGATTGGAAACGAATTAGAAAGATCAATAACACTCCTAAATGCTTCTCAAACTGTTTTTTCTTGTTGTATAAAACTACATAAAAAAATAATAAACAACGGCTGATTATAAAATGATGAATTACCTCAAGAAATGCCTTTAAAACCCACAAAAATGCCAGTATCAGGACTCCATTAACGGAGAATCCCACCTACATTAACGCAAAACAAGTAATGAATTCAACTAGAGGTCGCTGCAGAATTAATCTTATTATAATTATATATGGAAAATTCAAAATGACATTACTTTTTTTTTTTTAAAGAGGGAAAAAACAAAAGAACATGTAAATTCAAGGGTACCAGATTACTAGGGATGGAGACAGGCAAAACAGCTCGTACGGCTTTCCTTGCTCGTTTAGATATCTTTCTAAATACGTTTTGAACAAATCTAACTAACAGATCCAAACTCCTATCTTCCTCTTCCTCTTCATCCTCATCTACTTCTTGATCATCATCGAACTCCGGAGTCATCGAACGGCTCCAACTACGCGGGCCATCCACAAGATCGTCAGTCCCCTGAATAAAATTAAAAAGCTCGGTTTTAAATACAGAAGCAAAGAAATCGTAATTGAACAAAAAAAAGTGCAAATTGAAGAGACCTGAGGGAAATTGGGGATTCTTCTGGAAGCAAGAAGGGGCTGAAAGGAATGGGATTTGAGGAGGTGGATTTGGGGGTTCCTGAAAAAGTGAGACGGCGGTTTTCTGTAGGGGATGTTAGTGAGAAAGGGACGTGACAGTGTGACGATGACAGACATGGCGGTCAGACATGAATAAGCGGTAGTTTTTTTTTTTTTTTTTTGGTTTTTTGGAAATATGAATAAGCGGTAGTTGGTAGAAAAGGAAAAGTGCAGTAATATGCGTTGCGTTGTTCTGAGAGTTTTTTTTATTACTCCATTTATTTAGAGAAAGTTTAGTACATTATCTTTTTTTTTAGAACATAACCGATTTAATGGATATTGATTAAAATATATTCAATTAAAAATAAATGTTTATTTGATTAGTTAAGTCAATTATCTATTTTCAAAATTGATTATCCAATAGATTTGATACCATTATTTAACTTTAAATATAACATAAATCAACATTATTTATACTATTTTAAAATTATATAGCATATCAAATAATTTTAAGTAATACTATAAATTATATATTTCTTAAATAATTAGAATCAATTAACCAATGAATTTAAATCAATTTCAATTATTTTGATTAATCACTTTGATTGGATTTAATTGAATCAACCGAATTGGAATTGACAAAACACTGTTTAATAACAAATCTAAGAAACTGTAGCACTTAATAAAAGGATAATCATATCTTTGATGGGTCATTCCTTGTTCTTTTCAACTCTTAAACCCAAAAGATGTTTAAAATTATGTTAGTTGTAGTAATGTTCTCTTTTCTTTTTCTGTAGAAAAGTTGCATGTCTTATTTTGATTTATATGATCCGTATATGCGAATATTTTTGCCAAATACTAAATACAATGCTATGAGATGAACAAAGATTATACACATTCTTAGTACCGTACCTATAATACTTAGAACTGAATCTGCACTTATATTCAAATACAAATATAAAGGTGTATGATTAATTCCAAAACTTTCACTTAACCATTGTGTTAGACAAAAATTTGGTTATGAAGACATGGTGAGATGGGCAACAGCTAAACAGAGTAGCTTCCTATGGGATTAGGATCAGACAGGAAAGCTTTATTAGCATGAAGATAATATATAGTAGGTATGCATGTTTTCAACTGTTGGCAACTGGCAAGTTCCCTGTAATAACAAGAAAAAGAAAGACCCAAGTTTAAATACCCAGCTACCAGTTAGAGTGCTAAACCAATTTTGTACATACAAATTTACAAGAGCATAACCGTCCATTTTATTAGAAAAACTAGAAGGCCATGGACATCATCAAACAAAGAAGTTGGAAAATCAACCACGGCACTTACAAGTTACAAGCATCAAAACCAACTGAAGAAACTGCAAATTCTCATTTTGCTTCTTCACTTCTTGCAAAAGACTTGTTCATACATACAGAGACATGATCTTTTAAAGCTATACCTAAAAAAAAAATTCTCAACCAGGATCAAGTGATGCAATCACCAGCAACTATGCATTATTATGCCCTTCTCCAAGATTACAATTAGGTCCAAAATTTCGTCGCCCTCGATGTCGAGGACACTGATGTGGGAAAAAAGGTGGTAAAAAAACAGGAGGAGCAAATGCTGGCATGAAGTCATAATCACCACCAACTACAAAAGGATGAACTCCAAATGGATTAGGATCTCTCCTGATTGGAAAGTAAAATGGTCTATCAACACGAGGAAACCCTAGCCACCTGGTAATTGCCTGATTTTGCTTTTTCCTACTCTCCCAAATTGAATGAAACATCTTTTTCCAATTCCCCATTCGCATTCCTCCTGGCCAATCTGCAAACTCTTCTTCAAATTTCTGCTTCCACAGATCATTATTGGAAGCCAGATATCGCATCTCTGAGCAAACACATCCCATTCTTGCAACATCAGCACCAGGCAACGACTCCAGAATCTTAAGCTTTAACTCAGTTGGGAGACGCATCAAACAAGCCGGAAGAAACAAATCATTCCTACGAGAGATATCTATCAACAATGGCAATGCAAGCCCATCCTTCACAATCTTCCAAAACTCAAAAACTTCATTTTCAGGATACGAATTGAAAGACCCATCTTTAGTAGCGTTCGTAGTATCCTTCTTATCACCATTCTCAAAATTATTTGCCCACACTAAATCCAAGGTTGGCGCAAACCTATATTCATCCAGAGACAATTTATATATCCCTGAACCAATCAAAGATCCATAAACTTGACAAAAATGGCCCAAAGTTTGAAACTTTAAAACAACATAATCAGTCAGATTAGAACCAGAATTATCATCATCCCTCAAAAGTTCAGGCAGTGAATAACAAATTGAGACAGGACAAGACCACTCATCTGGCAAATGAAACTTATCAATTTGCAGCCTTGAAACGGGATCAAACCCCACAAAACCCGAATCCAAGAAAACCGCGTGGACTGCAATCGCCAAGAGCTTGTGAATGCTTCCATTATCACCCAGCTCTTCCCCTAAAACCTTCCTCAAGAAATAGGGCTCAGAGAACCTTTCGCTAACTGCGAAGGCATCGGTATCCATAGATTCTGGTCCACCGGTTTCTTTGGTTTCTTGAGAAACTTCGGACTCTTTCGCCATGGGTTCTTGAAATTGAGGCAATTCTTGAACTGGGGTCTCTTGATTGGCGCTGGATTCTGGCATCTGATTCGGCTCTTCAATTAGGGTAACTGTTTGAGGATCCTGAGTAAAAGAAAATGAAGAAAAAGCGAAAGGATTAAGAGAGAAATAGATAAGGTCACCCGGGGCGACACCGAGGGATTGGAGAGAAGCCTGAGGGGATGGCGCGTGGAGGAGGTCCTTGGCGTTGAGAGAAAAACGGAGAGAAGATGGAGAAGGATGAGGGAGAGGGAGAGACAGGAAGAGGGTTTCCTGGAGTTGGAGAAACGTATAGGTAGATGGAACTTGGATTCTTAGCGTTTCTTTTGATTCGTAATTTCTCAGTCTCAGTTTCATCTTCTTATACTCGAAATTATATATTTTGCTCAAACACCAACGACCTTAAAGAGGAAAGGAATCAACTGTCTTGGCTGTTAAGAAAGTTTGGGGTGCAAGTTTGTGACCATATACTATGCTTGAAGGATTAAAAAAAAAATCTCTTTTTTTTTTCCTTTTTATTTTTCCCATATAGTGGATTTTTACTAAATTATATATTTTTTTATATTTCCTATTTCAGTGATTTTCTAGGGGCAATGCTAAAAGTGCCTTTGAACATTTATTAAAAAGCATTATAAAAAGAGAAATTAAAAACATTAAAAATAATTAAAAATATATATGTTATACCTTTGAAATTTATGTGTGAAATTAAAAGGAATTTAACTATAAAAAATGAATTTTTAAAATTTTCATTAAATCCATAAAAAAAAATAATGACATCTAGACTAGAATTGATGATATCATACAATTAGACAATTTTTTACTACATTTATATGGCCTTTTTCTTTTTTTTATTTGATTTAATATTTTTATTTGTATAAATTAAATCATTTTTATTGGTAGCCATAGTTTTCTCTTTTTATTTTTTGTTTATCAAAAGTTCAATTTCAAAATGTTAAAAAATCTCATATTTTCATACTTTATTTTTTTAATAACTCACTTTATATTTTTGCTTGTTTATATTTTGTGATTCATTATTTTCATTCATTTAAATTAGAAAAAAAAAACCATAACAAGTAAAATGAAAAATCAAAACCTTGTGGAATTATGATAAAGTTCAAGCTTTGTTGTTAATTATCTGTACTATTATAAAACCTTTTATCGATGTGTAAGTAACACTAAATCAGTTGAAGAACGAAGAAAAAAAAAAATCTAATGAATACAAAATTAAAGATATTTGTTATTTTCACTTAAACAAAAAATTAACTATCCACCTTTTTTACTTCAAATAAGACTTACTCACTTTTTTCATAAATTATTTTTTTCTAAGACACAAATTAAAAAAAAAATCACCCACACATAAAATTCTACTATATCTTTCTTTTCTATTTATGTTACATTAAATATTCTTATGTTATTTTCATATTTATTTACCATCACTTAAAATTATATTATTTTTTAATTTTAACAAAAGGTAGCAAGGTTAATCCAAATTAGTTAATGGATTTTTAATCAAATAATAAAATGATTAGTATATTTTTTATTTAAATAAAAAATTAAACCTTGTTTTTTGAATAAAAAAATTCATATTGATAAAATGCTAGATTTTGAATCTTCATATTTAAAATAAATTTATAATAATTTTCGGTACATAAAAAGAAACTCAATTGCATAATTAGCATTTTAAAGAAAATTTTAGTAAAATTTTATTATAAAATTAATGCTTTTATGAACATCAATCAATTAACACCATCTTTTTCTAAACAATATTGCTGCCAAGTTACAAGATTTCTCTACAAAACAAAACTCCCATCGTTTTTCACTGATCATTAACGGATGAAAATCTCTTTCCATCGGCCATAAATTGAAGCATTAGTTGACATACCAGTGTTACAAATTGTCCTTGGCGGTTCATTTATCACTCTTTGCTAAACAAAATGTAGTGTCTGTGTGGCTGTGCCCAGTTTCTTCTTGGTGTCAAACCCACTACTTTGGTTTAAGTGCTAATATCCCTATCGCCATGCAGCATGCACTCTGTTATGATCTTTGTTCGGTTATTTCATTCTCAAATGGAATACTCCAGCATCCAACTAAACAAAATCGTGGGAAATTATGCAAACTTCAAACATGCAAAGAACCGTCAATCACTGGCATGCGAATGTAATAGGTTTATGTGTTAGAGGGTTTAGTTCCCAAACAATGTGATGGCATGGTGAAAACGATGAGAATCTCTTCTCACCGTCCATCCAAATGAAGGAAACTCAGTTCCTCTCCTCTCACTCTAATCAATATAAGAAGAATAAAACAAGTCATTTACCTTGTTGACATCTGAGTTTGGAAAGAAAATGCATCATTCTACACGCATCCTACTCATAAAACATTAGCTAATTAAAATTAAGGGCTGAATGGTCTAAGCTCTAGATTCCATAATAGAAGAACTGAACTCTATTCTTTACCTTCTATTTTGCTTGAATGTATTTATTTTTTTCATTCAATGAAAACAAATTTTACAGGATAATTGTAAACAGTATGATCATCATCCTACTGAAAGGTGTAGATAAAATGTATACAATTTACAAGTGACCTATTATTTAGAGATCGCCCCTGAAAAATGGATCACTGAAGAATGGGCTGGAGAATGTACCTCCTCCATTAGGGAAAAGAGTAAGAAAACAGATGAGACCTAGAACAACACCCCAAGCAAACCTGTTATCTCCCAATGGGGTGATCTCATCTTTTGCAGGCATTTCTTCTCCACCACGAAAGAAGGTTGCGAATAATCCCCAAACCAAACAGAGGACACTTCCACTCAGGCCACCAATGCCGAGGAGAAGTGATGTGGCAAACGACAACAAAGTAGCAGTATTTCTTCCAAACATTGCTTGAGCAATGCGGCCACCTTCAAGTCTCCCACAGGGCAACAAGTTCAAAGAAGTCACCACCATTCCTGAAGAAGAATGACTCGGTAAATAACTTATAAAAGTTTCAATGTTTGGCTGCATAAATGCTGCCTCCAATAAAGTCTTGATAGCATCTTTGCGGTAAAAAAGAAAGAGAGGAAGCGAGAATGATGTATTTTTATTTTTGCAAAATGCTCTGTAAATGGAAGTTCCTTATCACTTTGTACTCTTTAGTAGCTTTAGGAATTGATGAAAGTGAAACTAGATTATTTTTCGTGCCCTTGAAATAATAAGTCATCCTTTATGAATCCGAATAGACAACCAATTTGTATTATCCTGCAATCATGGTAATTAACGTCATCAATCAACAAAGCAAAGAAACTTACCCAAAAGTCCAGCAAAAGCAAGGGGATCGACTGGAACTCCAACCCCTTCTACAGCATATGGTAATACATTCCCAAGGTCATCTGCATATGGTCCAATAACAAATTGGATAAAAGAAAGCAACGGATTGTTGTAGAAGAACTGAGGCCTTATAAACCTGGAAAAAGGGAGCGGATTTTATAAGCACATACCAAACTGGATTATTCTCATCTGATTATGGAATTTATTAATTAGGCTGACAATGGTCCATATTAGAACAACCTTCAGGAGGCATTGATGAAATTTCCAAACAGTTAACTAAATAAAAAAAGGGAAAATTTCCAGAAGGTCAGTGTATATTCTCACTAAGTCTATTGTCACTTGCCTGATTTAAAGGATTGTACACCTTGTTGCCACTACTTTGATGTATTTTCTACTATAATAGAATCTATATAATATTTGCATATACATTTTCCCTAATGTTACTATGAAGAGGTTAACCTAGCAAGCATTGCATTTTCCTTCTTTTTAATTTTTCCCTCAAACAAAAGGCAACTAGTGTTTGCAAACATTGTCACAGTCGAAAACTTACAATGCATTATCACCACCATTAAAGCTGCCATCAGCTACAAAAGCAGCAACTGCAAGCACCAGTGATGTCAAATAAGCACTCGCCGTACGTGCCACTGGAATATCAAAAAGAGCCTTCCCATTTGGAAGCAGTGATTCATAATTATTCATCACCCCCAAACAGCCTGTCCAATTAGATGGAACAAGAAAAGAGGGGCTGAGTTTAACACCATAGCGAGCTGCCGTCACCCTTGTTGCTATCTGCCAAACACAAAAAAATACAGCCTTAAATAACTGTGTGGCTGTGTGCATAGCAACTTAGCAAGAGCAAAGGAAACTATTGTAAATATAAAAAATGCAAGTTCTGCTTATGATGCCTTGCCGTGAATCTCTCCTTTTAGCTTAAGAAGATTAATGCACAGCCTTTTAACAAACACAAGAACTCAACTACTATTATTTGAGCCAAAATGAAAAATGGTTAACGAAAATAACAAATTATGGACCTGAAAATTAGGTTCAGACATCAGATAAGATACATATTATATATGAAGTTTCATAAATAAAGTTATGGCATACCTCAGAAACTCCCAAAATGGAGACAAAGCCACCAAAAAGAGGCACGACATCAGCTAGATAGTCATCAAATGTAGCTCCAGGTTTCAGGAAGAATCCACTCATCAGAGCAATTGTCCCAAAAGTTGCAACACATAAGGCTATTGCACTAACATATCCCCAAGGAGTGCTCAGCGTGGTAGACTCAAATTGTAGATCTATTTCTGATTTAGGTTGCACCACACATGCCTTGAAGTACAAGAATAACTAAATTAGGCTCTGATAAGCAAAACATATTCACCTTTTTATTCTGAAAGCATAAATGCTACCATGGGTGGCAAAATTAAGTATCAGCTCATGTTGAGTTACCTGTTTTATAATGTCATTCGTTTTTTCCTCCATGAACCATAAGACAACTTCCCTGCCTGCAGCATCAGATAGTTTTTTCTCCAGTAGAGGAATGACATCTTCAACGGGTCTTCTCAAATTCCCAATGAAAATCCCCCCATCTCCAAATCTTCGGACATCAGTTGCAAAAAATGTATCAAACCCAAAACAGCTCTTTAACTGTCATGTCAACATCAACACAACAAAATAAGCCTTCAATGCTCTTTGGCATGCTCTAATACAATTAATGCTTACAGAAAAACGAACTAATTCTTAACTAATAGAAAAAACACAAACAAATTATGAAGTATATTTAATGCATATGATTACGAAAAAATTAGATGCATCTCAACAATCTTCAAGAGTATAGACAATAAATCATTATAACAAGATCGGAAACCCTTGCCGGGGAAGTTGAAACAAGCTGGTTAAAGCCAAAAATATACAAATAAAGAACATCTATCAATATGTACCCACAAATTTTGTTCAACAAGGCAAAATGTAATTATTTCTTAATTCCATTCTAACAATGATCAAAGTCGATAAACTTTATTTTAACAGAAGCACATAATAGAATATTTCAAAGAAAAGTTGAAAATCCTAATAGTATTAAAGAAAAAAAAAATCACCTTATTAAGATCAAGAGCCTTGAAGGTCTCCTCTGCTTGTTCCAACCTTTCCTTCTCCCTAGTCAAGTTATCACGCACCAGTTTATTGAAAAACCCCACAATTGGATTATCACTGTTCTCCCCATCAAGTTCCTTGAGCTTCCTATCGGCTCTCTTCTTCTCCAGCTTTATTGCAGCCTCAATAGAAGGGTTGCCCATGAACTTCTTAAACTCCTCATCTGTCTTCCAATCCATTTCTTGCTGGTTTTCTTTCTCCTCAGTTTCTTCATTTGTTTTACTCAATTCAGTTTCTTGAAAACTCTTTTCAGTGTCAATTTCATTGCTTAGTTCGTCGGATGCTACTGCAACTGAAGACGAAGTAGGTACACTTTCTTGCTCATCTTTAACAGAGGACTTGAGAGGCTTTAACCTTCTTGATAATGGAAGATATTGACCTTTAACTGATAAATCAAGGGCCTTTCTTGGATTGCAACTGGAATATGCAGAAAAGGAGAGATTAGTTTTATTCTTCAGTGATTTCGTGTCATCAAAGGATGAGACAATGGTAGATAAAGTACTTGAGCCAACATTCTTATTCTTAAGTTTCTTATTGTGCTGGGTATAGAGATTGCATGAAGACAAGGAAGAGTGCGAAGTGAAGAAGAAAGTAGCCATTTAAAGAAGTTAATGCTGGAGTGCGAGTCTAAAGGAAAACATGGGGAAGAGAATAATAAGAAAGGGAGACAGACATGTCTAGAAAGTTAGAGAAGTTTAACAGGTGGAGTGGTTCAAGCAAATGGAGACAGATGAAGGAGTTTTTGTGTGGTGGTGGATGAGCTGAGCGAGAGTAGGACTTCAATTGGAATGGTGCCTCCTTTTTATTATTGGCCAAAAAGGAAAAAAAAAATACAGTGTGATGGTCAGGAACGGTGACGAATTCAACATCGACTATATATTACAGTTAATTTTGAATTTTTTAAAATAAAATTGTGAGATTGAATGAAATGAAAACGGAAAATATATTATAAATTGATATAAGCTGTGACATTTAATATTTTTGTATTTCAAGCTAGCGCGGACAATGATACTTAAAATTTTCGCATTTAGTCTAAAACAGCTAATTTGACCCAGTCAAATGGTCAATTAGAGAAAAGGGCTGTTTTAGTAATTGGGCGGAAAAAAGACCGGTTACAATTGTAAACGCAACGCAAAATCTGCAACGCCTATATTTAGATTTTTTTACCAAACCAATTGGATTTTCTTTTTTTTATTTTCTTTTCCGTTTCACATCAGGAATAAAAAAAGAAAAAACGCGTGAATTTCGTTTGGTCCATAGTCAAAGGGTCAAACTCATGAAAATTTAACATAAAAGTGTTTTAGTAATGCGGGCTGAATAAATAAGTCGGTTACTATTACAAACGCACAGCTAAATCCCAACGTCTATATTTTGGATATTTTCCCTTCTTTTCGATTTCATCTAGGGAAAAAAAAACCAAAAAATGAGCGGTTTAACCTCACCGCCTCTTTCAAATACTCTGTAGTTCTACACTTCTTTATCTCTATTCCGGCTCTCTACATCACTCCCCAATGCTAAAAGGTATTTTTTTGGGGGTTTTAGCTGCCCACTTCAATTTTCCGACTGTAATTTGATAGATGTGATTTGTTAATTTGGTTTAATTATTAGGCCTACAAATGTTGTTTTTTATTTATTTATTTTTTGTGGTTTGATTTGCAATGATTTTGATTTTTGGGTAATGGGGAATTTTGGGTTTTTGTTTTGATGGAGTTTTTGGGTCAAACCTAATTGAGTGCATTTATTCTGGTGATTGTTTCAATGCTCTACCGAATGACTCAAAAATTGATCTTTCATTGTTTTTTACATTGTTTGTATTTGGGTGCGTGTAGCTAACTGAGTCATATGCATGTATGACTATTTCTTTGCAAATATTTTTAAGATTTTTATTTTTAGTTTTATTTATAGAATTAATGGATGCCCACTTTTGGAAATTATGGTTTTCTTTTTTTTTTTGGTGTTAGGGATAGTCTTTGGTGTTAATTATATGTGTCTGGTTTTTGGTATTTTTGGCAAGGCTTTGCGGTTTTGTTCAGCTAATTAGGCTCGTGATAAATTTTAGTAGCTGCCAAGAAAAAAGATGAAAAGGAATGTTAGAATTTCTGAGACGTGCATGTACAAGATGGACAACTGTGTAATTTTTGTGCGTTTTAGATTTATCTTTCAACTGAATATGATGCAGCCACTTATTGCCTCAATTGCATGAGAAAAGGTACAATGTTTAATTACCTTTACTAGATTGAAGTGCAATTTAAGGGTTTTTATATGTTTACCAAGACTTCCTTTTGTTAATATACTGAGTATTCTTTTAAAAAACCAGTATTCAGGGCTTTCAGAGTCACAATCACCTTGGGGTAAATCTGTTAGCTCTCTTTAACTGCTAGTAAGAATGTGAAAGATATGCTAGTAAAACTGTCAAAAACTAATCAAACCTTGGGATTAAACTATCGAGCTTGTATAGATTATCCAATTGCATCATCATTAGATTTATGATGGAAATGTTATCTTATGCAACAGCTGGCTAAAGGGGAAAACAAAAAACTATGTGCTTCGCATCTTAAGTGCATGGTGAAGCCTTCATTTTGTTGTTTTAAGTTTTCATCATGTCAAGATTGATATTTACTCTTCTTCATGTTTGTCATTGGACTTTGTTGAACTTGTAGGAGTCACTCAATTATATTTGCCTATCATGATGAAGTTTCTCAATTTCTTTCTTTGTAAAATCTTTTTAACAATGCATGGTTTTTGTTCTTCCCCATCTGCTGCTAAAAGAGAAAAACAGAAGAAACTTATTCCAGCCTGTAATCATGGGGGCTTCCACCTTGATAATGTTGGTTGTTAGTTTTGAGTGTTTTTTAGGCTCTCCAGATTGCTGAGATGGCAATAACCCTTAATTTTCAGGTGTACAGGTAGTGTGTGATTGAAATAATGTTTTTCCTAATAGAGATTGGCATGCATGTGATTAAGAAATAACATTTTTTTCCTTCAATAGTCCTTGAAGGTGTATAATGCTTGCAAGTTCTTTTATTCTTTTCTATTTATTTAACTTTTGAGTATCATGCATTATACATGAAATTTCAATATAAAAAACTTAGTACATCAAATATGATTTAGTTACTTAACTTAATGTTTTAGGCATGTATCTGGCACTCTTGGCTCAGGTCAGGGCCTTGAATAGTCTTATCTATCATTTATAAAATATCTTCCCAAGAGAACTGATGCCTAGTTTTATTTTTCTTAACTGGGATACAGTACGTTCCTATTTCCTATTGTCATTTTTTTGTTTTAATTTATAGGATTGGTGGTTTTATCATGAAAGTTTACAGGAGTTTTTATCCATTATTTTGCGCAAAGGACAGTACAGTCTTTTGCATTAATGAGTTTCACATATTTGTCTTAGTTTGGGTGGAAAATATTTGCACAAACTTAAATAGCAATATGTTTCCCTATCAATGAATTAACCTGGTTTGTTTCTTTCCTTCCCAATTCAGGTATGAATTCTTGAATATTTATGGCTGGAAAATTTACTATATTCATATTAGACCAGTATAGTCAAGCACCATTCCATAGCAAAAATTAGGTTAATCATATTGTTTATATTTCTTCAGTTTTCTCTGAGTTAGTTTTTCAGTTATGTTTAATGTTTTGGAATTTCTAGTTTCATGCTTAATCTCATCAAGGGACTACACCATGCAACCCATATCCATCATGTATAGTGGGTAAGTGGCCATGCTACAAATGGAGTGCTAATTGCTTCAACTTTTTCCTGAATCAGCCTCATCTGCCTCCTATCATTGGCTGCATGGATCCTCAAAATTTTCCTCCTCCTATGCCCGGTCAGGTAATAACTTTTCTTTTAGTTCTTCCTAATGTTTATGTCATATTATTCAACATGATCTACCTAAACTATTTTCCATTTATATTTATGTGTGGATGTATATATATTATGCAGTTCCGACCTGTTGTTCCAGCACAGCAATCAGAACAGTTTGTTCCAGTGGCTCCTCAACAGTTTCAACCTGTTGCCAGAGGAGTTATTGTGATGAATGCCGGGTTTCCTCCTCAAACTCTGCAACCCCAATTTCCTCAAGTAATGCAGCAGTTACCAGCAAGACCAGGCCAACCAGGCCATATTCCACCTGCGCCACTGGCAGTTTCATTGCCAACTGCTCAACCAAATCGGCATGTCAGTCCAGGGGCATCACTGCCTCAACCTTATACTCAAACTCCAAATAATTACGTGTCTGGGGTCCCAGCATCGAACCTTTCTTCATCATATACTGTAAGTGATTAAGAACGTATTAAGCTTAGTGCTACAATTGTTTGAAGATCTTCATACCTTGATTTTCTATATTTGTATCTTTGCAGTTTGCACCATCTTCTTACGGTCAGGTGCCGGTGTCTCATAATGCCATGGCTCAATATCAACCCATGGCACAATTGCAGGCACCGTGTGTTCCTGTTGGATGCCAGGTGGGTATCCATGTGGGCCAGAGTACTTCTTCTGTTATATCTGTGCAGCAAATTGGGGAACAACCATCTGTTTCCAGTTCCATAGCTACCATACCAGTAAGGACATTCATCTGCCTCCACCTTTTCCTACACATCTCCAGAAAACACTGTTTGATTTCCTATATTTCTTATGCTATTTTATTGTTGACCTTTTTACGTTATGCTATTGGTTCAAGTATCACATTGAGTTTGCAATTTTACAAATTTTAGGCACCTATCATTGAGCCGATGCCCACTGAAGAGGCTCCAACAGATTGGATAGAGCATACTTCTGCAAATGGAAGAAGGTACATAATACTCATAGGTGTGGGCTGCTGATAGATAGGCGTTTAAGGCTGGAATTTTGGTTTCAGTAGTAAAGATGTCTCTTCATGGTATATTTGAAAGGATTGGTTTGTCAGAATATAGTGGGAATAATGTGTCCTGCCATCTTATTTGACATGATTGCTGAAATACTTGTTTTCCTCGTTTGTGTTGTTTGTAATGGAGTTTGGAGAATGTTGAATGTCCATTAATAATATAGTTTCGGAGAACAGGTTTCTTCTTATGTCTTGGGCCAATTAATACAACTTAAAAATCCCTTGATGTTTCTGTTAACATGCTACAATGTTCATCATAGAATTATACCAATGCATTTTCTTACTTTATATCCTTCACTGCCATCGCTATAAATGTGGCAGTTAGATGTCATCTATGAGAGACTTTGCGTGCTTTATTCTTGTATTTATTTAACCATGGATCCATTATGTCTTATGCAGATATTATTACAATAAGAAGACACAGCAATCTAGTTGGGAGAAGCCATTGGAATTGATGACACCTATTGAGGTTAGTTATACTAATGATACTGTTTTTCTTCTATTATTTTCAGTCTTTGGCTTCTTACTTATACTATTAAACTGTGTTGGATGCATTGCCCTTTGTGCTTTATAGGTAGCAGCCATATTGAGCATGTACTTTGCATGATAAGAAAATAAATCTTGGCTTAACATAGAAAACATATTTCATTAGCTTGCTTCTAAAGGTTGAAATCAATTCCAAGCAGGTACTTATGATTTATGGCTCTTCAGCCAGTTTCACTGTTTTTTAGGAAACTAGTAGAATGGACTGTAAAAACTTTGTGTTGTTTGGGGTAATTGATTTCCAAAGAAGTTCTCTTTCAGGTCTTATAACTTTTAATGGAGGAAAATAAAGCTTCCATGGAGCATTTTCTCCTTCATGTCATTACCTGTATGCATGTAGTTTATTTGATTTTTTTTTTACTTTGTTTATTTTATGGTTGATCTTTTAAGAATATAAGGGTTTTATTTTGTTTGATTTGTGATTTGTTGAAAGGCTCACTCTCTTCTCACTCCTCTTTCTACAATTATGCATAGTAATTAGTTGCTCTGCCATTTTGTCATGAGAAAAGAGAATTCATGGTCAATGCTCTTATAAGTTTGACCAGTACATCCTGATGAGTCAGCAACAAAAGTTAATCTCTGCACGAGTGCCACTTTAGTCGGTCAACTTGCTCGAGATTTCCCCAAGAATGATTTTGAATTATATGATTGTAATTCACTGTGATGCTTGTGTATTGTCATATATTTCTTATGTGTGATCTTACTTATTATCACTTTCCACTTCCAAGGCATTCTATTTTGGGTGAGTACTTAAAAAGGTATTTTATTATTTATATTTTACTGTTATCAATGCATGTTAAGTTGTATAAGTCAAATGGCATATTCTTTAAAGCTCATTTATTGTCATATCTTTACATGTCTTGTGTGACTTCCATAGTTTTAAAGATGCTTACAGGTACTTGCTGTGATACTCTATTGAGAGGTAGGATATGCTGTGGGTCTTTGCTGCTTGCTCTACCTACTTTTTATCATGAATGTTAGTAATTCTGTCATTCAAGTTCTTTTGTAGATTGTTTTCATTCTATTGCGGGATTTCTTTTGTTGATATTTTGGTGGGTGTTGTTTGCCATTTTCGACTCTAAAATCTGCAATGCCCTTCACTCCTGAGTTTGTGATGCCATCTTTTTGTGTTGTGAAGGGTTGTAAAATCCAAGGAACATGCATGGCCTGATAAATTAACATTTTTATCTCAATTCTTAAAAATTTTAAAATTAAAAGGTTAGAAATGAGGTGCATTAGTTATCATACCTATAGTTATGCTTCTGAAGGGGATACTCATCTTTTGCTTCTTTTTTTTTATTTTTTATTTTTTGAACAAAATAATTTGGGTGGAAGTTAGTTTCACTCCATTTGGCTAAGATGAGGATCATTGAGCTTGGACGGTTTTCACTTGTTAGCCAGTTTTGGGTGCAATTGGCAATGCTAGTTTCATGCAACTTCTGTTTTTCTTTTGCTGCTTCATTCTTTAGTAATTTGGTCTGGTTAGAGTCTTTAATGGTGTTTCATTCTCCTATCTTTTAAGTTATTCCTCCCATTCCTTTTGACTTTTGTGTTTTAGTTGTTACCTTCTGCAACTATTGTATATATAGATACATTATTTATATTTATAGATAAGAATTGTCTCTTAAAATTTGCCACAGAATCCCAAAAAAAAAAAAAGTGAGGAAGGTGGCCAGGGAGATGGGAAGGGGAAAGAAACAGAGTGGCCTTCCTTTTGGTTATTTGTGTCTTTCATTTTTGTCTTGTAGATTAATATTGCTTATGACTTATGATGCGTGCTTTTGGTTATTGTTGGAACTTCTTTTACTTGTATGTTTGCCTACTTAATACTGTCAATCGGTGGTTCATTATGCATAAAACTTGTGAAGGGTAGTGATAGTAAAATCTTGTTTCTTATTTTCACCTTTGCAAAATTTCTAATATTGTCTTTAACAAAGTGTTAAACATATATGGATTGTTAAATAATTTTGTTTGCTTTTTGACGGAGTTCTGTCCTGGAATGGGACACCTCCTCTCAGATTCTTCTTCCTTCTTTGTTTTTGTGTACCTTTTTTTTTCCCTTCTTTTCAATAGATTTGGGTGGATTTTCTCCCCAACAAAGTCGAGTGTCTACTTATTTGCCTCTTATCTGCATGACAGAGGGCAGATGCATCAACTAATTGGAAAGAATTTACAAGTCCTGATGGAAGAAAGTGTGTAATTTGAATAATTTCTTTTAAGCTTCTGTAAATTTGTTGGTATTTTATGATCAGATCCTTTTTATGAACATCTGCAGGTATTACCACAACAAGGTTACAAATCAATCAACATGGTCAATGCCCGAGGAGCTGAAGGTTTCCTCCCATTGCAACCTGTTAACATATTATTCCTTTGATATCTTATCATGGTTTCTTACCTTCTCTTTTTGGTGTTATAATATTTAAGTTGGCTCGTGAACAAGTAGAAATGGCACCTGCTAAAGGAAAAAAGTTGGAAGTTTTTTCTAATATTCCAGCTCCTTCACCTCATGTGATTAAAGCATCATCTGGTGCTGATACACCATCTACAACAATTCAAGAAGCTTCCTCGAGTCCAGTTCCAGTGGCACCAGTTCTTGCTACTAGTAATATCCAACCTGTGGTGGTTTCTGGATCAGATTTACCTGTTGGAGCTTCTTCAACAGTGACCAATGTACATGTGGTTCAGACGGCTGCAGAGACTATTGCATCATCTGCTGCTGTTTCAGAAAGTTCTGAAGTTTCTATCACTGTGGTTGATACTGTTACAGCACCAATGTATTGTTATCATAACTGGTTTTAAGTGATGTTATTGTAGCATTCCATTTTCAATCTTTGAATACTTTTCTGCTCTTTAATTTTGCAGGAATAATATCAGCAAAGTTTCTTCTTTGGATATGGTTAGTTCTGCTGAAGGAGTTTCAACACAAAATTAAGATATATGTGATGGATTTATTTATCTTTCTGTCTAGCAATAACTTCTGCATATGCTTAACTGGCAAGATGATAAGTGTTTTCTGTTTCTCAGGAAACTGTAAAAGATGTGGTAGTGAGTGAGAAAATTAACAATGTATTGGAAGAGAAAGCAATTGATCAAGAGCCTTTGATTTATGCCAGCAAGCATGTAGCCGAATTTCCATATCCCTTAGCTAATGTTCCTTTTCCAATTCTTGATTCCTATTACTTTTCTAAATAATTTTCTCTTCTAGGAGGCTAAGGATGCATTTAAAGCACTTTTGGAGTCTGCAAATGTTGGTTCTGACTGGACATGGGATCAGGTAATTCAATAGGTAGTTTGAATTATGTCAATATAGTTTAATTTATTTCTCACATTTCTGCAAATATCTGATATTTTAATTGATTATGATAGGCAATGAGATTAATAATAAATGACAAAAGATATGGTGCTTTGAGAACACTTGGAGAGCGGAAACAAGCTTTTAATGAGGTAGATCCTTGCATGGTTTTCACTTTTAGTTGAACCCTTATTCAGTGTGCATGTAGCTTGGTTGGTTTCAAATTGTGTAAGTGACAATTTATGAGAGTAACAATAAACGACAAAAGATATGGTGCTTTGAGAACACTTGGAGAGTGGAAACGAGCTTTTAATGAGGTAGATCCTTGCATTGTTGCCACTTTTAGTTGAACCCTATTCAGTGTGCATGTAGCTTGGTTGGTTTCAAATTGTGTAAGTGACAATTTATGTTGTTCATTACATTTTCATTAGGTGTTGTTTATTGTTAGCATAATATTTTTTCCATTTTTCAGTTTTTGGGTCAAAAGAAAAAACAGGAGGCTGAGGAAAGGAGAATTAAACAGAAAAAAGCACGGGAAGAATATAGAAAAATGTTAGAAGTGAGTCATTTGCTGCTCTAGAGATTCTGTAATCTCTATTCTAGATTCAATGTTTTTCTTACTTTCTTGTGATAATTGTGGATCTTGTGCAGGAGTGCTTGGAGCTGACATCATCCACAAGATGGAGGTTTGCTTTCCTTATTCCCTACATAACATTGATAATTGTTGTGGTTTGGATCTTATACCAAAGTTTGGTATAGCATAGGCATTACATGATAGGTGGTCTTTAACAATTGAATATTTTCACTATCATTCAGCAAAGCAGTTACTATGTTTGAAGATGATGAGAAGTATAAAGCTGTGGAACGGGACAAAGACAGGAAGGATCTTTTTGAGAATTATGTTGATGAACTCCGGCAAAAGGTACATTTTGGCTCCTCTAGAATGTATAAATACATGCCCACCACAACCTCCTTTTATCTGCCAAAACAATTGCTTTGTGTTTATACTAATATCTTGAATATTTGTGCTCACATGGATGCATTGGATGCATTACATGTTTGTTTGTCTCCTTCGAACTGGAAGCCAGATATCACTTTTATTTTGTTCTATCCTGTACTCAAGCCCTATACTCCTGCTCATTGTTTCACTCTATGATCCCCTAATTTATACTTGTTGGTCTTTTCTGTAGAACCTAGGAAAAGTGAAAAATGCTTGTATGTCTAATCATCTTAGTAATCATGAAATAAATTTTTATGAGGTTAGTCAACCCTAGCCAAGTTGAATAACTATATTCGTTTCTTCTCCATCATTACAATCCACTTTTTAGGATTGCTGATTAATTTAGTATGCAAAAGATTATGTCATCCTTTTCAAGTGCATTATCATCTATTAATTCTGCATGTTTGTTTGTCTCTTTCGAAGTGGAAGCCAAATATCAATTTTAGATTGTTCTGTCCTGTACTCAAGCCCTATACTATTGCTCATTGTTTTACCCTATGATCCCCTAATTTATACTTTGTTGGTCTTTTTTGTAGAATGAGAAAACCTAGGAAAAGTGAAAGTGCTTGTACTTCTAAACATCTTAGTAAACCCTAGCCAAGTTGTGTAACTATATTTGTTTCTTCTCCATCATTACAATCCACTGTTTAGGATTGCCAGTTAATTTAATATGCAAAAGGTTGTGTGATCTTTTGCAAGTGCATTATCATCTATAAATTCTGCACGTGTAGGAAATATGATGCTAAAACCATCATTATATCTCCAGATATTGTGAGCTTATTTGATTAAATATCCTCATTGTACATGCTGGAAAATAGGCCGTTTAACAATTTTGGGACTGTGGTTTACAAGTTTTGGTCATGATTTCATTTTCTTGAATTTGTCTATTGGCTAGGAACGGGTGAAGGCACAGGAGCAGCACAAGCAGAATATAATGGAGTACAGGCAATTTTTGGAATCTTGCGACTTCATTAAGGTACTTTTTATCAGGTTTCAAGTTTTGCATTTATGGTTTATAGTGGACCTTATGTAGGTATTACTATTACTTTATAGGCAAATAGCCAATGGCGAAAAGTTCAGGACCGCTTAGAGACTAATGAAAGATGCTCACGTCTTGAAAAAATTGACCGCTTGGAAATATTTCAGGTACTACCCTTTATTTGACTGTCTATATTTTTTTTCTAATTTGTAACTTTTTGCAATTTTTATGTGCATTTTGAGTCTAATTTTTAGAGGTTTTTGTAGGAATATACACGGGATTTAGAGAAGGAAGAAGAGGAGCAGAGGAAGATACAAAAGGTGACTTAAATTACATATTTTGGTGATTGCTATTGTTATTTGCATTTTGGAGATTATGGTATGATCTGGTTTTTTTCATCAAAACAGGAAGAACTGAGAAAGGCAGAGCGTAAAAATCGTGATGAGTTCCGCAAGTTGATGGAAGGACATGTTGCTGCAGGCACTTTTACTGCCAAAACTCACTGGCGTGATTATTGCATGATGGTTAGCAAGCCAGTTTAATTTGGTTATGGCAAGAAAAGACAAGGTAGGTATTATTATCTTGCTTTCTGATGTGTTCATGGATTTTGTTGTCAGGTTAAAGATTCAGCGCCCTTTGTGGCAGTTGCATCCAACACCGCAGGTTCAACTCCAAAAGATTTGTTTGAAGATGTAGCTGAGGAGCTTCAGAAACAGGTTAATCTTTAGCTTTGTACTGTGGTTATTTTCTGTATTCTACACTGGAGTTGCTAAAATATGTAGTAAATCATTGGTTTTCTTTGGACTTTTCCAGACTGAAGACCTGGGTAAGAATAATTTTTTGTTCATATGTGTATGTTATTTTACCTTCACCATGTTTTATGTGGTGTTGTAGAGCAGAATTTGATGTGAAAGTGAAAGTCTGAAATTTAGTTCGAAAATTTTTTTTATTTCAAGTAAAATATTTAAAAATATCCTCAGAAACTGCATCCCTAATTTCTGTTTCAAAATTCCTCATATGGGTTATTATGAAAATTCTGGACCAGGGATCTTAAGATACAACAAATTTCAAATAATGGAAAGTGTTGAAACACGTAAAATAAAGTGAAAACTTCAAACATCTATTCTAAGGGATCAGAAATAATCCCGTTGCTTACTAGTCACATTGTTCTTTACATTTTTACCTTTATTTCTTTTCGGCATCTGTAATGTGGATTCGGTGCTTAAGTTCAGTTACTGTTCTCGTCAAAGACAATAAGACATGCAGGGATGAGGCTTTCATGGAAGAAACTGTTACTAGTACCTAATAATTGTTTTTGTGATTGTCTTAGAAATCATGGTTACTTTTATTGAGTAAATGAATGGTGGTCATAATAACTTGTCTACTTATTTTTAATATACAGTATCATGATGATAAAGTTCGAGTAAAGGATGCAGTGAAGTTGAGAAAGGTATGGCAATGGCATTCCACTGTGTTCTTTCCTTAACATGCCCTTAAGAATTTTTTTTAAGAATTTTTTTTTTGTCTAATATTCTGGTATTTTTCAGATCTCTTTGGCATCAACTTGGACACTCGAAGACTTGAGGGCTGCTATTGCAGAGAATATTAGCTCTCCACCTATATCAGATGTTAACTTGAAGGTATATACGTGTTCTTAATAGTTCTCGTTTTGTTTGAATACAAGTTTGGTTTGTAAGGGCATGCTGTTGGAAGTTTGGGCTGCTCCTAGAACTTTTTACCGTTTAATGAACATCTATGTTGCTCGGACTTGTGTACAGAGTGGGTTGTGGGTGTGCGTCCAAGTGTTTGACAGTCCAGTTACTTGTAATCTACAACATAGGGCAAAGAGCACATGGGTTCAAGGATTCATTGTCCGAACCATGGCATTAAGTTGTTTAATATTATATGACATCAATTGATGTTAATGCCAAGGATAACCATCTAAGTGTTTAATTGAATTGACTATCTTCATATTTGCAGCTAGTTTTTGAGGAATTGCTTGAAAGGGTCTGGGAGAAGGAGGAGAAAGAAGCTAAGAAGCGTAAACGTCTTTTTGATGACTTCTTTGATTTCCTGCATTCTACAAAGGTGAGGCAGGCATGTCCTTAAAATTTTTGGTAGAATAGTTAAATATATTTTTATTCCATCTAGCTGATCTTAGCATTTTTGCTGAATAGTTACATAGTCTGGAAATTTCTTCTTATTCAATCTATTGTTTAACCTGTTGCAGGAAATTACTTTATCTTCCACATGGGAGGACTGCAAACATCTTTTTGAAAGTAATCAGGAGTTCAGGTACTTGTTGGTTGGATTGGATTGTGATAATTTTAGTTTAAACATTTACTATGCTGCAAATGTTTTGGTAAATAATAATTGTTCATCATATGGTCAGAATCTTTTTTGTCCTAGTATTTCCTACAAGAGTCCTTTTCTGAAGGTTAACAAAGGTTTCATTAAATTTGGAAAGGCTTACGGTTCTGTGTTGGTCTCCCAGATACTAATAGGGACCAGTGATTGTTGGGAACTTTGCTTATTTGTCCCTCCCTGCTAGTTTTTATAGTTGTGACCTGATTTTGTAAAAATTGAATGACTGGAGAAATAATGATTTAAAATTATCTTTACTTTATGTTTTGTGTCTAATTTCCAAATTTTCCTTAAATCATTGTACATAGTTGTCACTTTAATGAAGCTTAGTTGTTGAATGCCTGTATGTAGTTCCATTGGGGATGAAGACTTTTACAAGGGGATATTTGATGAATACATAACACTGTTGAAAGAAGGGGCAAAAGAGAAGGAGCGAAGATGGAAGGAAGACAAGGTATTAGATCAATTTTATTACATATTTGCATATCATTTCTGGACTTCGAACATAAGCATCAAGTTCTTATTTTGAAATAAGGTTAATCTATGCATTTGATTTTCTTATGAATTTCAGTTTAACCACAAAATTGTGGCTTGTCATTCTTTGGATGTGCTTGAGGGTAGTGCTACACTCCAAAGTAACTGTTTCTACACAGAAAATGTTGCATATGAACTTCCTTCTTGATGTTTGTTACCAGAAAATGATTGGAAAACTGCATCAATCATTTACCATATACTTGTTGCCCCAAATACATTATACTTGTTTTTGAGGGTGCTTCTTTATCCTGTTTCCAAGGGTCTGGATGGTCTTTGGTTATGTGTGTAGATGAACTGAATGGACCCATCTATCTGACTGTCCAGTCTGGGGTTGCTGTTTAGAAGCATTTAAACAAGAGAAAATTGTTTTTTTTTCTTTTTGCAGGCAAAGAAGGAAAAAGAGAGAGAGGGGAGGAAGACAAAGCATGGAAGGGACAAAGAGAGAGGGCATGAAAGAGAAAAAGATGAACACTTGAGGGAGAGGCCTTCTGAAGTACATGTTGATGTGGGTGAAATTCATGATGACAGTGAAAATAAAAGATCAGGAAAAGGTGATGGTAAGAAACATCGAAAGCGGCATCAAAGTTCTGTGGATAATTTGAAGGAAAGTGAAAAAGACCGGGCTAAGAATACCCACGGGCATAGTAGTGATCGCAAAAAATCAAAAAAGGTATGATATTTATTTCCATTTATATGTTTGAAATGGTTGCAATTGTGTGTTCACATCACTTGATTAATGATCATTACTGCTGCAGCATGCATCTACACCTGAATCAGATAGTGAAAACAGGCATAAAAGACCAAAGGGAGACCATCGGAATGGTTCACATAGAAATGTTGACCCTGAGGAGCTTGAAGATGGGGAATTTGGTGAGAAGGAAAGTCGGTAGTTATATTATCCTACAAATTTCTAGTTCCTTTTTGTCATAATGTTTAATGTATCAACAATGGAAGGTAGCCTGCTTTTAGTGTACCTACTTGATTTTGATATGGGTGATATTGTGTTAGTATCATCTTTTATTTCTGGTTTATTGATTACAATTTCCATCATATAGTGATTTCATTTTCAGGGAACTTGCTCTTTGTTTCTCATAAACTCTTAAAAGGTTTTCTTTTTGAGAATAATTATTTATAATATTGACACCAACTACTGGGAATTTTCTTGTTCAAGTGATGACCATGGAAGAGTTAAAAAGATTATTATGGGTATGTTGTGACAAAAACTGGCAGTTTTTGAAGATGAAATGATCTGTTCATTTATTGCATTTGTAGGACAGGGAAGTAAGCAATGGTTTTTAGGTTTTAGATATTTTCTTTGTTTTGCCTTGCAAGCAATGAAAATTGCATGCGGGTAACTTGATATTGTTACAATCCAGTTAGGAGATCTTTCAAGCAAGAGTTGTGTTATTGGGATTATCATGCAACCTAAATTATCAACGGTAATGTTGAGATTATCTATTGATTCTTCATTTTCTTTGCCAATTAATGATAAAAAAATGGTGTGTGCTTCTGAAGTCCTTTATGGTTACTAAGTGCTGCTAACCTTCAAATTGGGGCTTCAGTTTTGGTTCCATCTTAAATTTTTCGTTATCAACATAATCTGAATGCTTTTCGTTTAGACCTTACAAAAAATAAACAGATAAACAAAAAGAGGGAAAAAATTACACGATTTTGAGTTGTATAGTTCTTCTGTTTGCTTCTCCTTGATTGTTTTGTGATATATAGTTATAGTTATGTATATTGTTCTCATTTCTTGTAAACTTGCATACTCTTTTTGTGTTATTTTGGGTGGCTGGTTTACTTTACAAGGGAAAGTTCATACATGTAGCTATATATCTCTACAATCGAATGATGATTTGGCTTAAAGAAATGGACAAGGGCAGGGACTGCTACTAGCTGTTTCACTTCTGAAAATTCTTGGACAGTCGCTTAAGTTCTTTTCTTAACATTGAGCAGTTCATCCATTTTACTGGCAGAGTAAGTCAATTATTTCCTCAACAATCTCATCCATGATAGAATCTCCTAACCCGCACTGCAATTGCTGGGAATAATTCCATTCTTCTAATGTGTCAGGGAAATTCATACTTGAGTCTCTAGAGTTTTTCCTGCATGAGTCGATTTGCTCTGCTCTGATTAGGTTTCCCTGCTTTTCCACACCAATGAACCAGTGAATGTAGTTGTTGTTTCTAACGTTCGACCAATCATTGTTTTTGGTGGATTTTTCTGGGAGGTTGAAAAGAGGCTTTCTTTGATTCACAAGCCCTTGGTTTCTCCGGTGCTGAGGAGAACAAGCCTCAATAGTCTCCTTTGCTTCTTTCAACCCAATGAGAGCATATTTCTCAGTTTGTGATTTTCCAAGCAGCTTCCAAGGAAAAGTTGCAAACAAGAAGTTGCCCTTAGCATTTTCGGTCGGAGTGGAGTTCCTACTTGATGGGCTTTCTTGTCTTGTTATGATGTGATGAACTTCATGAGAAACAAAGAGTTAAGAGCTATACACACTCGAGAAAAAATAATTAGAGAAAAAAATACTAACCTTTGTCATATGATAAGTTATTTAACGTTGACATAAGGTCAAGGTGCTTATCCTGAGTGCTTTTCCTTTGACAGGTTTTATCTGTAAGATTCTGCAAGCAATGTGAGACACAGTAAAATCAAGTTGATCAAGCTTTCTTAAAAGTTGCTTCTTATCGTTCATGCATTGGGGTTTGTCTCCCTAGCAGTCTGTTTAATACTGCAAGTAGCTGACATTAATGCTGTAATTATGTGACAAAAAGTTAAAATGGATGATTCTGTACCTTTTCTGGTTCCACATTACCAAGATTTGAGGTTTGAGAAGTTTGGGACGAAGAACCAGGTCGGTAATTTGAAGGCAGATATTCTTCTTCAACGCTGCAGCTGGGAGAGGCACCAAATGGAGTTATTAGACCGTTCACTGCAGTGAAGCCACTTGTCTCTGCAGTCTGAAATTCGTCTTGCTGGGCATTATCATTACTGCTATAGGAAAGCTCTTGGCTGTCATTAGCAGGAACAAGTTTGTGCAGTATCGAGTTGACGACCCTTGTCGAGAGTAAAACCATTTTCTTGTTCAAGTTGTAACCGCGTGGTCTCCTCAGGTTCTTAATTAAATTGATTTCGAAGCAGCCATTTCGACCATTAGAGCTCAAGCATTTTACCAAATGCCCTCTTTCAGAAAGGTATATGTTTAAAGGACAAGGCTCTTGTTGCTCTTGGAGATGCTCCTTGAGCTGTTTCGTGGTTGCAGACTTAGATGCAGGAGAAGCCATTGAAGTTGCAAATTCCAGTGAAGAAAGAGAGTAAGTAGGCAGAGGATGGATGGAGTGCAAAATTAATGATTGGAACAGAGAGGGAATGTCTGTCACTGTTGGATTAAAAAGGAGAACATAATGCAAACAGATGGAAAAGGAGCTTTTGGTTTTTGTTAGAGTGAAAGGCAAGCATATAGGCGCCAAGGCAATCATTTATCCAATTGGGGACAACTGAAATACTCAAATCTGAGGGCAATATTTTTGTTGACTTATGACATCAATTGGTTATTACATTAAAACAAAATGTGAGATCTTGTATGTTATTAAGTTTTGGTTTGATTTTAATAAAATTATCATCGTATGGGTAGGTCCCAATGGAAGAGCACCTTGTCTCTTTGAGCAAATTAGTTGCATTTACTTCATCTGTAAAGTTCTCTTCGGTCTTAGCTACCTATAAAGAATAAAATTCAAAGTGGCAAATTAATTTGTGTGGTTATTTGGTTGGCCAGTTATAAGGGGCAACGTCCTTTGAATTTAACTTCGGAGTGGTATTAGACGATTATTTCTTAATAACAATATAATTGATGTATATTTGACCAGACCAGTTACTTACTACTTACTAGGGTGAAGCTTAGCTGCCATGTAGATTGAACAAGTTGATCAAAACAGTAATTAATAAGGGAGACTTAGTATAAAGTGGGTGGTATACGTTGATCGATAATTCAGATACAGTAATACAATAAAAAAATTATATGAAAAAAATACAATTTAAAATTTTAACAAAAATTATATATATTTAATAAAAATAAAAATATAATATTAATATGAATTATGATACATAATTTTTATATAAATACGATAAAAATATATAAATTATTAATATTTTATATAACATAAATATATAAATTTTCGTATTTTACAAAATCTTGACAGATGAAAGGTTATTGACTCAAATTTCCTTATTCTATATACGGCATATGTATATGATACATGATATTTTTCATTATTTTTTGTAATGGAAAACTTGAATCAAAGTTAATCAAAGAGATTAAAAACACAAAAGATGTTCGGAGTTTCAGATCTCCATTCTCCAAGCTAATTAACTACAAGAAAATAAAACCTAAAAACACTGATCACACATCTCTAAAATTATCAACCTCAATTATATAATATATATATATATATATATGATCAGCTTTGCATGAACAATTTAATATGGCATGCACGAGGCAACAGTCGACTCTCAACTGCAAGTGAGAGATGACAATAATCAGCACATGAGTTGTCCTTCTATGGAGAAGCTCGTGAAGATAGGAAAGTGGATTGGGACGGTGGTCTACTTTACCATAAAGTTGCCATATCCAAGCAAAGCTCACCGTAGAAGCTCCTTTCTTTACCAATTGCCATGCTTAAATTCCTTCTTTTCTCTTTAATTTACTTACATTTATACATTTATAAGGCCATCCACGCCAACCCACCCCCATCCTTCAATTAATGTTAACAAGAATGGTTTACTCTTTTTACTTTTTTTACATGCATGTTCCACTTTTTCTTTTTAAAAAATTATGCTTTAATTATTAAGTACTGTTTTGGGTGGAAACTAATTTTGAAATTTTACTGACTCTATTCAATGAAAAACATGATTAATTATTGGGCATAACCTCCATCATTCTTGAAGGACCCCATATAGCATGCCATGACCATGACCAAGGACACTCACTCACTCATCCATTTGGGATGCCTTATGACTATGCCATTTTAAGTCATCATAATTTTGCATTACAATTTACAACTTTGTTCCCCGAATTTGATGCACCTCATTATGTCATTTCTTCAAAAATACTATATATTGGTAATAACCTATCAAGATTTTAATTTTTTTTTTAATTTGCTAAGGATTAGTGGAAATATAATTTTTTTAGTTATAGCATATGATTTTATGGCAACATCTCTTTCAAAGAATTCTAAGCTATAATTTTGAGTTTGGGTTTGGTTTGATCTATATCATGATGAAGTGTATGAAAATATATCATTCCATGATTTTAATTTATTTCAACTAGATGTTCTTGCATCGGGTTACTCGTTTGGTTTGTGGGTTTTATCTCATTTGGATTGGACATTGAATAGAAGTTTTTTAGTTTGGATTCTATTTGAAATATTAAATTATTAATAATTTTTTGAAGTTAAAAATATTTAGAATATTAATATTTAAATACTTTTTTTAAATTTTTTATAAAATTTTTAGTCTTTTGAATTTGATGGATTGAGCCAAAACTTAAACATTATTTTTAAAAGACTGATTGGGTCTGTTTTGATTTAATTCAATCCAAAAATAAATTTAATTCAACTAATAAATAAAAATATTTGGACCACATATAACTTGGCCTTTTTTCTATTATTGAGATTCTAATTTCATCCCAAAATAAATGGTTGTTGGCAATATAAGTAAGGCTAGGCTTAATTAGAACTTAAAGCAAGGATTAGTTAAGATGATTAATTAGTCTAGTCAACCACTATTCATAAAATCCTAGTATTCTTTAGTCTCTACCCTCTAAAATAATTAGGCTCTCTACATCCTTCACATGTGTAATGATAATTACGCAAGGCCGATGTTTTGATTACATTACATACAATTCTCATAATAATAACTAGGCGTTGACAAAACCAAAGCACGATAAACATAGCATGTTTCTAAAGCTACCATGTGTGTTTTTAAATCATGCGGTCAAGGTTTGATTAGATATAATATAATATTAATTCATCCAAAGTAAAAATTCCTCCAATTAAAATTAAGCAAGGATTCTAGAAAATGAAAACAGGGACAAGAAAAGGAAAATTTTGTTGTGTTAAGAAGAAAAAACTATTCTAGGGTTAATTCAAATTTACATAAAATTTTGACATTTCAATATATATATATATAAAAGAAAAGAAAAACCCACTTTCTAGAACTACTTTTGACAAAATTTTCGAGGATACATAAATTATTAAGTAATTAAGATGAGGTAAGGCCCAATGTTTTTTTTTTGGAATATTTTGTTTATTTGATTTTTATCAAGTACAGATGAGATTCTCCTATCATAAGTAGTTAATTACCCATTTGCCCTTGAATTTTTGTTTTAATTTCATTTTGCCCGTGAATCTTGACAATGTCTATAAATTGACCCCCCTGCACGGTTGTTTCGTCTCAAGTCTCAACCCATCTTTTCTTTGCCAACTCTGTGGAGAAAGAAAGCGAAAATATGAGTTCCAAGGTCAGCGCCTTTTGCATGATCATGTTCCTCCTCTTCTTCACATTATCTTGTGCCTCTGCGGCCCGACCAGAACCTGCATCTGAAGTTCAATATGCAGATACCCCAATCAAAACTCAACATCTGGTATATTACGTCCAACTTCGTATTGTATACTTATGCTTACTGGAACCAAGAGTTGGGCATTCTCTGATATTAAATCTGCTTGAAAACATAATTTTCTCTCATTTTTTTTTCTATTTATCAATAACAAGCTGATCTTTGTAGCAATACCGTTAAGGGTCTTCTTTTGATTCTTTTTCTGATGATTTGTTTGTGAACATTTCAGGATACTGAAACAGAGAAGGTTCAGGTGGAGGATAGCTGCGACGGAATTGAAGAAGAAGAATGCTTGATGAGAAGAACACTTGCAGCTCACATTGATTACATCTACACCCAGAAGACCAAGCCTTGAGGACCTGATCTCTTCATGTTGTCATATACTAATTATTTTCTTATAAATACTTTTTTCATAAATTTGCGTCTTCATTTGTATCATGTTCATTTTCTCTTTCAGGGAGGTTTTAGTGGATATCAGGTTGCTAAACCAGTACTGTAATATATGGCACAGATAATAGCGAAATTTTTATTATATGTTCAATAATTTAATTTCTTAACATTGTTAAAGTTTTTTTTTTTTTTTTTGGACAGTAACATTGCTAGAGGTTTCGGCTTGAATTTTGTCTTTTTTTTTTTTTTTTTTTTTTTTTTTACCGAGAGCGAAGTTTAGGAGTAAGATAAGAAATGTTACATTATTTTTAAGATTAAGATAAATTATCAATCTACAAATAAGATTTATAAATCTTTTGAGATTTTTTAAATTTACAAATCATTTATCAACAAAAAAATTATGAAAATTTAAATTTAAATATTTTACATTTAACCTCTAAACTTTAATCATTTGCATCAATCTTTATCGGTTGGGGCTTAAATTTTCTGACTATGAAAGGCTTAAAGAAAAGAGTGGACCTTTTGTTATTAACCAGTCCTTTTTTCTCTTTGAATTCTGCTTTCTATAGCATAAGATTGGTCATTCTTTCCGGTCTAAAAATCAAAAGAGATGTACATATATTGTTGAGAACATCATGCAAAGATTTCTTATATAAAATTAGAAAGTACGGAATAATAAAAAGGAAAGAAGGCTCTATTTTCTATAGGGATATCAAGGAAATTAGACCTTTTAATTACCTGAAGAAATAATGTCTTACCCACTTATCTACCATAATTGAGATTACATGAAAACAATAGAGAAAGGGCATTACCAAAAAAAAAGAACATTAATTAAAGGAATATTAATTCATATTAATTAAACATACTTTGGAGTTTGGACAATCCTGCTTGGCTACTCTTATTATACATTCCTCTTCTTATTTTAATTGGATTAAAGTGTTGTTTGATAAGCTAAGCAAATTAAACAATTAAATTGTCAGTAAACATGTCAAAAACTAGTTCTTGGACAATGTTTTTTTAGGCTGTAGATTGGTCCAACTATTATTTGATTGATAAAATTTTGTTTTTTTATTTAATTTTAATTTTAAAATCCAATTTAAAATACTTTTAAAATTTTTTTGGGTTTAAGCTTTGGGCTCGGCCAGCACAACTCATGTACACCTCCAAAATTAAGTACCAAGTTTTTAATTCTAAAAAATTTAAATTCCAATTTATGATATAATAGTTATTTGGTATGTTATTGAAAATAAAATATTTAATATATTTTTATTAATTTTCTATAAAATAGAAATCCAATTTTATAATTATTTTAATTGATCAAAATTTAAAAAATAATTAATGTAATTAAATGATTTTTAAATAATTGTCTTAATATATTAAATAGTTAAAAATTACTTAACATTTTCAACAATTTTTTCATTTATCTTTCATTAGTAGAATTCTGAAAAATATTTATCAAATGCATGAAAAACATAAAATTATTGAAAATTGTTATCGGAATAATTATCGAAAGCTTTAAATATAGCTAATGGCTTATATATGGATGCATTTAGGGAAACGGTGAAAGTGAAATTAATTTTTTTTAAAAATTATTGTGAAAAAAAAATTGCTAATTGTCAATGAATAAGACACGTAAAATATTGAAAAAGGTTTCATCTATGCCTGACCTGGATCTGTTTCCATATTATTTTCTTATTCAAATATGATGGAAACATCTTCTAGACTTCCAAAAATTCTTTCACCATGAAAACAAGAAAAGCTGGCTGACTTTTTCAATTTTCACATTGAATTCTTTCGTTGTTTTCTTCCTCTAGAGCTTCACCTATTCGGCTGCTTTCCGCAATTTCATTGTCCTCTTCATTCATCCCATTTTTCAAAACTTAATTTAATGTTCATGCAATAATTAATAAACAAAGGCCAATTCCTCAACATCGGGTGCTTGAAATCCGGCTAAAAAAAATTATTAACAATTGTTCTTAAAGCCTTCTTTAAGGTTAGTTAATTTTTTATTTATAAAATAATATTTTATATGGTAACCTTAAAAAATGTTCTTAGATACTGATTAGTAAAACTCAAATTACATTGTTAACATTGATTTCCCCATTATTTGCAAATAAAAACAAAGATTAGTGTTTTATAATAAAAAATTTCATGATTTAGTGCCCATCACTATGTTTTTTTCAAGGGCTCCACAAAAATAAAGACTATTCCATGTAAATTTTATTATTTTATGTGAACGTATGTTTTGGACCGTTGCAGTTAAATGTTCTCTCATTGACCAAAGTAAGCCGTTTATAAATGTAATTGATGTATTGGAAACGGTCCACTTATAAAGACCCCATCAACCTCCAAGATTGTTTCATTGCTCTCTGTATTTTTGGGTTGAAAAAGAAGGCAGGTTTTATTTCAATAGGAGTGCTGCCATCCAACTGAACCTTCTGCTGCTGCAATCATAGCCACAAGTGCTTCTAAGTTTCGAATCTATTTTAATTAATGTAGAATTGGGACATCACATGATGTGGCTGGTAGTAATTGCCTTTACGATTACCTATTGGATGCTTTGATATGGATCACATCTTTTAACTAATCATATTATGGCAATAAACTAAATCACAATCACAGTATTGTTTCATAAGAAAATTGACAATTATTGAAATTCAAGATTTAAAATAATTAATTTATATATTTATTTTTAAAAAGTAACATTCATAACATTTAAAATTTAAATTTTAGCACTTATAATTTATTATTTGAGTTTCAATTACAACCTTTTTTATAAAAAAAAAATTGATAATTATTATTTTTGTATTTTATAAAGATAAAATATTCAGTTTGTATGCATTTTCTAACTTAATATCAAAAATTAAAAAAAAAAGACAATGATGTCTTTCTAAAAGAATAATTAGATATAACAACAACAAATAATTGATATAATGGTTGTTACTATTTTTTTTTTTTTTGAAAACTGATTAGGCTTGAGCTGTAAATAGAAAGGGAGTTAGCTCTTTTTTTCATTCACAAATTTTATCCTCTGTTTTCATGATTTAGGAATCTAAAACCTTTTAAATTTTTTTTTAAAAAAAGTGTCAAGTTCTAACAAATATGCTAGTAATTCTTAAATTAAAAGGTTGAGTTCTTTGGTTTGAATTATCTCTTGAAAAGAGAAGTTTAAATTAAATATTCACATTCATCTTGTAAATGCTATGCTTTTGTCATTGTTTTGTTTTTTGTTAACAAAAGTTAAGGGTGAAAGTCGATTTTTTTATTTTTATTTTTAAGATTATAGTAAATCGCAAGTTAAAAATTATATTAAATTTACATGTCATTTATCAAAAGAACTACTTCTAACAAGATTTGAAATAAAATTTTATAAGTGAAGTACTTAAATTTTACCAGCTCAACTAACCAATTTCACTTTGTCATCGGATTGTTGATCTTATAAAAGCATCACCCAATGCTGTCCAGGTTTAGGAACGATATCTACGTGGTTAAGAATAATACGATATCATAATCTTAAATAAAAGAGAAGAAGCACCAATACAAAAACGAATGGACCCAAAAAAACAGTTGGCACTAATTTTTTTTTTTTCAAAAACAATTGGGAAAGTGTCCCTTGATCAGTACTTTGAATGTTCTTTATTTGTGGATTGTGCTATAAAATTATGATGACAATGAAGTAGCAATAGCCCAATTTACTATGATTGTGATGCCATGATATTTGACTAGGGCCTCGTGGTGGTTGTCACTTGGTTGGCCATGTAAATATTATCCATGATTTGGCATTTTCATCCTTTTTCGTATCTAAGTATTCATCTTATGGATATGGTTGACAATCAACATTTGGTGAGCCATAATCCAATGCCCTATCTTGTAAGCTGCTTCATGTATTAATTAATTTATTATTATGTATCCCTTTCCTCTTGGTTTTGGCAATTTAGTATAATTAATAATAATTTCATAAAAAAAATCGTGATTTGAAAATTAAAAAAAATTATAAATATTAAAATTTGAATATTTAATTTATTAAATATGATTATATAAATTAATTGATTTAAATCTCAGATTATAATTATTAGTTGACTTTTTCCTCTAACTTCGTTTTTAGTTAAGATAAATGAAAATCAAGCTTAAAATTCTTACTCACTCCCTTTTCATTTTCCACTTGAGCCAATCTAAATTTTGCAAATTTCAAACTCCTTCACAAATTTACATACTTGTGGGCTTGTTTAGGCCATTTGGCCCATTGGTCGGAGCACCTGCAAATTTTGCTTAGAGACTCCCTCAAAGACTTGAAGAACCAATTTACTACCTTTTTTTTTTTTTTTTCAAAAATAGAACATATCATTTGTTTTTGTAATATTTAAAATTGTCAGAAACCGGTTAGTTAAATAAGATTAAATCCTCATAAAATTAATCAACTGTTCTATTAAAATAGCTAATTAAGACCTTCAGTCACCAAAGGAAATGTGTTGCATCTTGGAGTAAGATTATATTGAAGCAAACCCAACCCTTTTGAAGTTATGTCGCACCATTTTTTTTCTTTGCAAATCATGAAAACATAATTCGAACCACTTGGTATTAGCACTATTGTTTTTAACTCATTAGCAAAATCCTTTTGACATTTACATTTTTTATCAGATAATAATCCTTATACCAAACACGTAACCTTATCAGAAAAAAATGTGAATGGCCTTATAAACTTTTCTTCTGCTTTTCGGCCTTTTGGGCTTTGGCTCATCTTCTTTGATAATGGGCCCTAGAGCCGCATATGGCGTCAAAGCATTTCTCCCGCAAATAGATCTTTCTCGCTATAAAACCGTAACCCATAAAGAAATGAAATAATCCACACAGAGAATTCGGGAAAAGACCCACAAACAGCTGAAAAATCAGGAGAAGAAATGGGGAAAGGAAAGCAGTACTGGCTGCTGAAGACAGAACCAGGAGAGTGGTCATGGGAAGACCAAGCAGCAAACGGAGGTGTAACCAAATGGGATGGTGTCAAGAACAAACAAGCCCAGAAACACCTCAAGTCTATGAAACTAGGCGATCTCTGTTTCTTCTACCACTCGGGCGCCAGTTCTCGACGCGTGGTGGGCGTGGTCAGCGTGGTAAAAGAATGGTACTCAGAGGGCAGTGATAAAAACAGTGAGGTGGTGGTGGATGTGAAAGAGATTGGGGAGATGAGGAGACAAGTGGACTTAAAGGACATGAAGCAGGATGGGGAATTGAAAGGGTTTGTGATGTTTAGACAGCCGAGGTTGTCGGTTATGCCTGTGCCCGAAGAGGTTTGGAAGAGGATTTGTGAATTGGGAAATGGGTTTGAAGGGGATGGCACTGACATTGGCAAGGATGGTGGTGATGAGGAGGAGGATTTGGGCTAAGGGGTTTGGAAATCAGGGATGTGGGTGTCCTTAGTAAACAGAAAAGATGAAATGGTACTGGTAGCAATGTGGTTAATGCTAGTAGTATAGAATGTAGATGCCCCTTTTTTGGGTTAAGGGCTTGGAAATCAAGGATGTGGGTGTCGTTAGTAAAGAGAAAAGATGAAATGGTACTGGTAGCAATGTGGTTAATGCTAGTAGCATAGAATATGGATGCCCCTTTTTGTTTTTGTATGTATTTTCTTGTGAATATGTTAATATTTTGGTTTTATTGTGCTAAAATTCATATGTTTGTTTTGCTAAAATTCAGACCAAGAAATTGCAATTTAGTGCAAGGATAAATTTCTGCAAAAAAGTAATTGAGAGGGCCAATGTGGCTACTAAACGCCCACTTTCCTGTCCTCCTCTAACAATGTTTTTTGAAGTACTGATTCGGATTTGGCTATAGAAGAAGTAAAGTTTCGGAAACTAATGGGGGAAAGTTGAAAGGAATGGTGGTTCGTTATTGGTAGTCTACTACTCTATGAATTGGCTTAGGCATTTTAGTGAACATTTACCGTGCATTGCCTAAACCCTTCATATGCAAATGGCATCGACACTAGTGCTACCATTGGTTTACTAGCATCATGATAATGATTTGTGTCTGGTTCTACTTACCAGTTATGCCATTCGAATTTTGAAACATTATGACACATCTGATTCTGTTCGTACCAATTTATTGAATCAAATATTCCAGCTGTTGAATTTTGAGAATTAAATCAGCATCTACCCTCTAGTCTATTGATGCTTTCAGTGATGTAGTATTTTCTTTTTACCGGAGCTAATGTCCCTTTGGCATGAGATGGCTGTCACTTTCTTTGAATTTTGCAATCAAATCGGTTAGCTTCAGAGAAATTCCTTATTTTTTGTTTGTATTTTTTTTAACAATTACAGATATCAAGGTTACCGTGTCATTGCTTGTAAAATTTTTTTGTCCATTAGATCTGACTACTTAGAGCTCAAGTTCATGTTATGTTTGTTATAGAATTCATCACCTTTTATTAAAATCTTTTTATTTATCTTCCTCAAATGGTTTGCTCCCTACTTATTCCTATATTTTATGTCAGAAATCTAACCTTGAATTATTAGTCATATACAGAGTTTTCTAGTGTTTTATGCAATTATAATATGGGTACCGTGTTTGAATATAGAATTGCTGCATTTGGTGGACTTTGCTTTGGAGTTAGTTTTGACTTTGAAGATTTTCCAAGTCTTGTGGTGCTTACTAATTTAATACCACTATTCTATTAACACTGCCTAGTATGGCCGGCTGTTGCTTTGTAGTCTTTATTGTAAGATAAAGGCATTGAATACTATCATTTATGCATCGCACATGTTATTCTCTTTTGGTTCCTTTCATATATGACCTAAAGATAGGGGCCCCGTGACTTTTCTTTGCATAATTCACGCTCAATAGATTTGGTACATTCACTTACAAAAATTTTTCATAAAAAATTTAAGAGTAAGAAAAATTAGTTCATCTTATAAACCGTCAATTTAAAAAAAAAAAATTATGGGTTTTTGTTTTAATTTTTTAAAATTATAGATAACCTATCAATAAAAAAAATGTTAAAATTAAATTTTAAATATTTTTTATCCAAACTTTAAATCTTAACTATTTGCTTCAATCTTTATTCACGTATCTAATTGTTTTTATTTGTAAGGAGACATCTCAAGCAATTAGATTCATCTTTAAAAATCTCGAAGTGAGCGAACGAGATTAATGGATCAAAGAGATTGCCTTATCTCAAGATCGAACTTTGAGTGAGTGAATGAGATTAATGGATGAAAGAGATTGTCTCTTGAATTCTGTTGAGCGAATGATATTAATGGAGGAAAGAGATTGCCTCTCCATGTGTAATTCAATATTATCATGTACCAATAAAAAAACACAAGTTAAACTTCTTTTCATGTAAGTTAGCTCTTTTTCAGCTTTGTTGATATTCTTTAAGTTTCTTGTTTTAGCTAAAAAAAGAGAGTGTAATCTTATAAGCTGCTTCAAATTAATATCACTTAACCAGATGGCATTATATATAATAGGTTAAATTACACCAAACTCCTTCAGTTTTCCCTAAATTACATCCAAATCTAATCCTTTAAAAATTCTACACCCAACTCCAACGAGCTTAACATTTTAATAGAATTTTTGCGATTACCAAAATACCCAATCGATTAGTATATACTTATGACAACTAGTGCTTAATGTCCAGCGGTTGCTCCAAAATGTATGAAGGAACTCGTGAAATCCACTTGCATTTGTCTAGCTTGAGATGCTACCAGAATTATGGCTTCATAAGTTGGATTTTGCGACTAAAGAAGCAATCTTTTGGGTTGGGATTATACTTGTCCAAGGAGTTTGGTGTAATTTACCATATATAATAATATATCTTGTTGATCAGTTGAAGACAAAATTTATGGAAGCAATTTAGTCTGAGGAAGCTGTCTGAAATCAGTTAAGGAGTAGTCGTGGACTCGTGACTAAGCCCTTACGTGGGTTTGTATCTATTGCACGTGTCTAATGCATTAACGATAATCTCAGATACCTCAGGGATGCCAATGCCACGTGAAATGTCTTGCCTTGAAATTAAAATTTTCTGCCTCCAATTTTTAAATTTCAAGTTCACTCAAGCCTAAAAGTTTGCTGGTTATTGTATATTAAAAAGTTATTTAATTATAATTGTATTTTTTTTAATAATAAAATATCGGTACATTTTTTTGAATCAATTAAAATTATGTTTAATTTAATAAATTCATAACAAATTATCTTTTCCCAATCTCTTTAAAAGACCAAAAAAAAAAAAAAATTCTATTGGGCCAACATTGATAATTATAATTTTTATTATTACAAATAGTTTCATAAAAAGAAACAAAACATTTAATTGGCAATGGCTTTACAATCTGCACACTCTGTAAGAATATATCAAATGTCAACAGTAAACACCTTACGTTTTCATTTCGAAAGTCTTTAACTTGTGTAAGACTACTCTTTCTAAAAAATAAGTTTTTTATTATTTTCAGTCATAAGTTTGAAATCATTTATGAATAAAGCCAATTGTTAAGCATTCGTCTAAGACCGCAATTTGGATTCTTAAAAGAATGGTCAAAGCAATAGTAATTCACAGCACATTGATAACTTAAACTTGTTTCAGTCACGCTCAATCAATTTGTGGCGAAAGAGGAGTTTAAGCCTAAAGTCATCAAAAGTCTAATCGGCATTCTTTGAAAGAAGAAAAGCCGTGCAGGTTGCTAGTACTTAATACCCAAAGGCCAAAGGGCAAACCATGGTTTACTTTTCAATCTATCATTTTATTAAATATAATTCTAATTCAATTGCAAGTGTTTTACTTAATTTTAGATAAAGTGATGAAAGCTTTTGTTATTGTTTGAGTTGGGAGAAAATCTTTTTGAAATGGAAAATATTTTTTATTATTTAAAAGGTATGCAAAGTTTTTACTATTTTATCTAAATGTAAATAATACACTTTCGTTTAAATTTGTAGCTGAAATTTTGATGATTTTAAATTGAGTGTGGATAATAAATTAAAATTAATTTTTTTTAAAAAAAAATTGAATAAATATTAATTTTAATTTTAGTTGAAAGTGAATTACTCACTTTTGGTTAAAGTAATAGAAACTTCTATATATATTTTTTTTAAGTCGTGGAGAAATTCTTTAACTAAAAAAGTGAATCATCTTTCTTTGTCAATTTATGATTTAATGAGAAATATTTCAGAAATAAAATTATAAATGCATCAAAAAGAAAATATTACTATAACTATTGTAAAAAATTAAACTAAAATAAAATCTCAAAAATGAATAATCATCTTACCCAACAAGAATGCTCTAAGGAGAGAAAGATGCCAATGCTATCCTTGATTGCCAATTCAATGTAATGTTAAGAATGAAATGAAAATACTTTTTGGGAATTAATCATATTAATTTTTGTGTACTTGATCATAGTAATTAAATTGGTAATGGAGTAATTTTCTAAACCAGAATTGATTCTATTCCCTCTCCCCCCCCCCCCCCCCCCCCCCAAAAAAAAAAGTTGGACCCCCGAATGGATAAATTAAATGATTGATGGATGCATTTTCCAAATAAATTTCCATCAAGAACATAAAATTGGGCAGCTGCTGACCATAATAACTGCACAATTAGTTGCCGTTTGTTTGTAAAAATACTTAAATACTCTCCAACTACCCTAATGATACAGCCAACCAACTACTTTTTCCATGAAAAGTGTGCCACAATTTAACGGTTGAAGTGTACATTTACAACAAGAGCTTGGATTACTTGGTTTGTGCTATTTAAATCTTGAATGAAATCAAAGACAGAAGAATATAGGAGAAATGAATGTATATTAAGAGTATAAAATTTAGAAATACAAGATTTTATATATATATTTTAATTTGGTATATATATTTATAGATTTTTTTTATTAATTAATAGTAGGAGAATTCAATGACGACTTTTGTATAAGTATTGATAAAATAGTAGAAGTAGTAGTATTTTTACAAATGCACATTATGTGTAAAAATGATAAATACTATCGTACCTCTTATCCTTTTTTTTAATGAAAATTTATAGTTTTAGTATGATTTGTCACATTTTTTATCCAAACCATCCCCTGCACGAGCACGTTTTTTAAAGCAAAGATGAAAATCAGTGTACTATATAATTTGATATGGTTGAATTTGACGAAGAAATACACCCCGCCCTGCCCAAATTACACACTCAAATCATTTATTTTCTATGTGTAAAAAAAAAATAATTTTTTTCTATACCAAAAAATTTCAGTCAAAAAACACTCAGGTAATGGCAAGCTCGTAATTATGTTCAACACGAAGCCCATTTAATCAAAACCGGCTCCATAAAAACCTCGCTACGATTCACTAATCTAAACTTCAGAAAAAGAAAAACAAATCTAAGCAAGCTACCAAAAGCGAGAGTTGTAGCCAAAGGCAAAGCAAAGATGCACGAGCTGTGAGAAGCAAGAAATCAAATCTTTTTTTTGGTTTTTTTGCTTTAAGGTTTTCATCGATCGAAATCCGAAATGGCAAACCAGTTGGAGAACTTGGTGGAATCAATAAAGTCGAAAGTAAGGGCACTGAAGAAGTCGAAGAATAAGACATACATAAAGATGGACAAGAGCTCAAGCGTGAAGGTAGAGATCCGTAGCAGGAAGGCAAGAAAGCTTATAGACAAGACTTTGAGGGCTGCTGATCGCCCTAGAAAGCGTACCATTTCATGACCCTTTTCTCATTATCTTCTTCTTCAGAAGAAGAAAAGAAGAGAGAACTCAGTTTCTGTATTTCTCCTTTTTATTTGCTTGTAGATATGTTCGTCAATTAAGTTGGCAGCAACTGGTTTAGAACTTTCAGATTTCGTCCCTTTTGCTCTTTTCTTTGATGTTTTGGTAATGTTAGCCCTCTGATTCTGTGTTTTTTGCACGTTAAGAGATAGCGGGGAACCATTTCGGATTGGCAAACAAGAACATACTTTTTTTTTTTTTTAATCTTTTTTTGCATTTATGTTTACGTTTCTGTTTTCTCTTTTTCTTTGTTGATATGATCTAAATGTTAATGACATGAGACTGTTTCTTAATTTTTCTAATCAATAGTTTACTAAATCACGAAATTATATTTAATAGATTAAATATTTAAATTTTAATATTTATAATTTTTATTTTAAAATATGATTTTTTTCACAAAAAAAATCTGAGTCGAAATCTCTTTATATTAGCATTAATTGATAGTCAATGATAAGGTTGCAAGCAGTTTCATTTGTTGGTTTATTTTTATTGAGCCAATGAATCATTATTTCTGCAGTTGGAAATTTATTAAGTCTAAGTAAAACAAAGAAAAAAAAAGAAAAGCCTTTTTTTTTTTTCCTTTTTATTTACGAAAAACGACCGCAAAAGAAATGGTATTGTGGGAATTGTTGACATTTAGGTAAGGCCATGTGTTTGACACTTATAAATTTATTGTTCAATTAATAAAGTTTACCAGTTTTCTGCGTACTACTAATAAATTTGAATCAAGTTTAAAATTAATTCAATATATCTGTCATATTGATTAAAAATATTATTTTAAATGTTAATTATTTTGATTTAAGAGTAAAAAAAAAAAAAAAAAAGAAGGCAACAATTAATATGTCAGAGTGAATGGATGTGGATGATATAAAGAGAGGGTTGACAACAATATTTATTTATTTATATACCAAATTCCAATACTAACTAATTAAACACAATAATGGCATAAACAAAACCCTGAAAAAGATATATATATTTTTTCTGGACAATTAAAAAAAAAGATATTGTTAATTCCACCGCTTGCTTTCTTCAAACTCAAATTATTTGTATATTTATATAAATCTTCTTATAATTTAACAATGGGAAAACAGCGAAAGAGACTTCAAGCCCTAAATAGTTAATTTTCAACAGAGCCTTTTATATATTTCAAAAGGAATCTCATATTCGTGTCTCCTGATGATAGGAAACAAATACAAGAAGCAAGTAGCAACCCACGCTTTCAAATTTAATGGTTTTATTAAAAAAAAAAAACCTATATACATAGTCACAAGCAGAATTAAAATATTATTATTATTTTTTATTTATCATATTGATTTATAGAGCAGAGAACTTACAACTATATAAAACTAATTTAATTTTATATATTTTCATAATTTTATACTATTTAATTTTTTATAAATTTTGTATGATTTATATTTATTTAATCCAACTATTATATTTTACGCCTTATTTATGTAGATCATGCAAATAAAACTTGAATTAATTAAAAGATTTTAACTATTTATTTTATATAAAAAAATTTCAAGCTATAAATATAAAAAAATGTAAGACTTATATTAATATAAATAGAGCTTTACCCTACGCAAATGAATAAAAATAATTTTTTTATGAATAAGCTGGTTTAATTTGAGGCTCAAACAAAATATTGTTCTGCAATTAAAAAATGATTTTCTCGAAATCTTTGTACATAAATAAAGGATTAAAAGAAAAGTTCTTTATACTGAGATTGGGCCCCGGGGCCTTTGACATCCAATACTAGGATTTATAAATTAGGCTCTTTGATTTGGGTAAGTTAGGTTTTGTCGGCTATGGCATCTTTGAATAAGCCCATCATTCACATAAATTTGGGCTTGACGTTATCAACAATTGTCTAGCCATGAGTCCATGATCATACTGGCATCACCAGTTAAATTACTGAAAATGAAGATAAGAGTCTTGACTTGAGATCTTGATAAACATGTATTTTGATTATTAGTCTAAGACTCTTTATTATTTTTTGATTTGATTCTTAGTAATTAATTCTTTGTGGCCTAACTTTTTACTCTTTTATGAATAAAAATTAACTCAATATAAAAAAAACCAATTACATTTAAGAAAGTGGATTGATCTAATCAAACATTACTTGATTTCATCAGTCTATATATATCCAATGTCATTCACTAACGATACACTCTCAGATTCCTCCTAACGGCATGGCTTCTACTTCGTGGATACATCAAATCTGCCATAGCATCAAATTCATCTTCCTCAAAGGAACAAGGCTGGTCCTCATCAATTCTCCCAATCTTTCCAATCCCAACACTATAGCTTCTCATTCCCCTGATCCCACCTGCTGATCCCATGGTGGTCTGTTTCATGCATGATTGTTGTTGCATTTTCAGCCCCACTTTGCTGTCTATGCCACGCTTAGATGCCGCAAGTAAAAGTTGTCTAAAATCTTCATTACCGTTTACCCTGGAGGAATTAACACTAAAACTCCTAGGCAAGCGTGAAACTGCCGAGGAAGTAGCGCAAACTACCCCACCGCCATAACCAAGCCCACCAGCACATTCCCCTACACTCTTCATGTACAAGTCTCTTGCCTTGCTTAGAATTCTGATGGGTGAACTTATGACTTTCATTAACTTGCTTTGCTTGTTTCTTTTGCAGCCTTTGCTTCTCATTTTTGGCCCTGTGCTTGTTCTGCCGGAAGAAGGTTGATTTTAATGTTGAGGAAAAGAGGAGAAAATGAAGGGTTTATATAAAGGTGCTGTTGTGAATTTGATTGTCTTTTGGACTCGTTTCTTGGAAGTAACTTCGACCCGATGTCGTTTATTTGAACCGGTAAGGAGCGTGTAGACTATTTCAAATGGTCAAACTTCAAGTACTACTACTAAAAAAAGACAATGCCAATAGACAGTAGGCCAAAATTGAAAGCAAAGAGAAGTAATAATAAAATAACCATGATGACCGAAAACGAACACCGAGTAAAAAACAGGTGATGTTAACTTTCCCTGGTTGGCATATCGGATTGAACATTCTCTCCAGTGGTATAGTGTACATTTTGATTGGAGCATTCCAGCCGGCAACACAACCATGAACCTGTTTTTCTGAGAAAAATATTCATCTCTGAAATTGACTTCTTCTTTGACATTATTCAAAAAGGAGAACAAGTAAGATGAGATGGAAAAAAAAAATTAAGTCATACATAAGTTTTTGTCGTAAACATACAAAATTTAAAGGGGTTTAAATTTTATCATATTTTTAATACGATACAATTGAATTCATTATATCATTAATTAAATTTAAATATTAATTATAGTAAAATTTATTTAATATAAATTTTTTAATAATTTTTTTAATTATAATTATAATATTTATTTTAAATAAAATAATTTTTTTATCACAATTATAATATATATTTTTTAATTTCATCGGAATGAATTTTATTATCCATCCAAATAAACAGTTAATTAGAACTATGTCCGTCCCGTTTTGCAGAATCAATCAATAGTCAACTGACTGAAGGAACCAATTCCAACTAAAAATGTACATAAAATAAATAAAATGCTTTTAATTAGGAGCAAAGGCATTCAACAGAAAAAACCTTTTTCTTAGACGAGGTAATAGTATGTTCTGACTTCTGATACCGTTAATTTAGCGCTTTTAGGATGATGATGTCATGTCGGTTACAAAATTTTGAAAAATAAAAATAATTCCTTTGCTTTAGTTGCTTTTAGAATTGTGGGTAAGATTGCTGTTGAAAGGCTGAAACAATTTAAGTTAGTGTTTGGTATACATGGTAATCTAATTATGGGGATAATTTTATTATTAAGATGATTTTATAATTCTATTATTAAGATAATTTAATCACTGATAATCTGAAATTAATTTTTTATTAATAATAATTAATTTTTAGAAATTAAAGATAAATGTGTTCTGTATCAATTAAAAATTAAAAATTATTTTATTTGAAAGTATGAAAATAACTGTGTATTGTAATAGTTATATAAGTTTATGATTTCAATGTTATCTAAAGAAAATAATTTGTAAAATATTCTTAATGTTTTATTTACTTCATAATAAAGTAAAATTAAATTATTAAATTAATAAATATATTTATTGATAAATAAACTAATTTTTATAATAAAAAATATGAAAAAAATTTGAATTAGAAAATAAAATTAATTTATTAAAATCATAATAAAAAAATAAAAAGATTATACTATTTACAGAAGTTATTACAAAAATAAAAAAGTATTTGAATTATTTTTGAACTTGTTATAATAAATTTAAAACATAAAAATTTATAACATTAAAAAATTATAATTTTGAGAGAACACAATAATTTACATATCAAATGGATAAATTGATTATTGTTAATTTTATACATCGTTTCATAATAAAAAAAGTTTTTTATCATTTTAAATGAGAATTAAATCACTTTTAATGATTTAAAATTACTACAACATAAGTGTTGCGCCTGAAGCAATAATCACAACAATACAGAAGCAATAGACAACAATCAATAATCAAATGCGCAGAAAAATAAAGCACACCAAGATTTACGTGGAAAACCCTCCAGTGTAGAGGGAAAAAAACCACGGGCCACCAGAAAAATCTTCACTATCAAATAATAGTTATACAAAGTTCTTCTCTAGCTAAAACTAGAGCTAATCAACAACTAGAGAAACAATTGGAGAAATCTCACCAAATAAGTGACTCAACAAATACACCCTGGATTTGTTCCTAGAGAGCTTCAAACCCGATCTTCACCGTTCAGAATGTATAACTCTGAATCATAAACCTCCTGACAAGGTTCCAACTCAATCGGACTACGGATCGACTTCCGTTTAATCAACTCTCCCTTCTCCTTTTTCTCTCTCTGCTTTTCCTGGCTTTTCTTCTTTCTCTGCTTGGTTTTCGACACACACACAAAACAACCCCACCTCTTTTTTTATTAAGTAGCTAGGGCTCTGTGTAAAATAAAAGATCAAGGCCCATGGCCTTTACTTGGTCCAAAACCACTTACATGGGACTGGACCCCATTTTCCTAACAATCTCCCCCTCCAGTCCCATTAGAAGGAGATTCATCACCATAGCAATTTCATTTGGAACTTACCTTGGCCAGGGAACTCATTCCAGCCAAATTACTGCAAAGCTCAAGCTTTTCCCTGGGAAGTATCTTAGTCAACATATCTGCCACATTTTTATCAGTATGGACTTTCTTCAATAGCATCTGCTGTTCTTCAATCACTGAACGTAACCAATGATATCTAACATCAATGTGCTTTGTTCTAGCATGGTATATGGTATTCTTACT